ATAAAAAAATGTTGTCCATCCGCCGTCCGCGCATTTTCTCCTAGACTAGTGAAATAAAGTAATAATATAAAAATAAAAATAAATAAATATATGTAATAAAAATAAATATACTTCTTTATTTTTATATTTTTTTTTCATCTTTTATTTATTTTTTTCTCTATGTTACAAGTAATTTTACTTTTGATATATGATATATGAAATAATTAATCATTGTGTAATAATTTGCAGGCTTTTTTTTTTTCTGAACACCCCAATCAACCTCCTCTTCAAAAAATATATTAAGAAGTATTTGCGTACTAAATTGTTTAATTTCAACTCAAAAATAAATAAACATAGAAAGTTCGGGCTCAAGCTCTCTCTCTCAAATAAAAATAAATGAAAAATTATATTTTTTTCATTGTTCTGTATTTATTTTTGTGAGTGATCTAAAGCCAAATACTTATCATCATCATCATCATCATCATATGGATCATGAATACAGATAAATAAATAATGCATAACTACAATATATTCTCTGCTTAATTATAATGTTTATACATCTATTAAATATAAGCACGTGTTAATAAATTATAAGAAATTTATCTCTAAAAGCATTAATGTTTCAGTAATTACTGTTCTTTTTGTTTGTTTGTTTTGGTGGCCTTCAGGGACCAATTAAACATCATTTCGGATTCCTTTTTTTTTTTTTCTGTTTCTTTCAGAGTCATTACCGTCATTAAAATACAAAACAAATAAAGCCCCTCTCCCCAAATTAAATCATGAATCCGCTACTCTAATGCCCAGTAGAGTATAGTCCATTCCACTGCGCAATGTGAACAAAATTAACTTAAAATAAACAAATTAACGTCAAAAAATTTGTTTATTAAGACAAAACTTTTTAGATAGCTTAACGAAAATAGTATTTTTACTTTTACATATGAAGTTTGTATGTAAAAGATGAAGTTTGTAGTTAAGAAAATGTATTGGGAACGTGAAAAAATCCGAATCAGAGTTCCCTATTGATATATGATACACTTTATTAAGTCCTCTTCTGTCCAAATAATCGAAATTCGCGTAAAATGGTCTGTGCCAGAATGTATTTGAACAGCATAGCTCAAAAACTAAAAAACGTACGGAAATGAAATTACGTATTTAGGTTGAGTATATTGCTGGGATATTACATTAACTTTTTCGCTAAAATCGACTATATATATCGACTATATCGACTAAATAGAAGCCCTACTTTATATCATTGATCATACAAGTTTTTGAAATTTTCAAATTCTCCAAGCGGCTCTAGTGGCATTTAGTCCGTGGTACAGACCCCTTTTCATCAAATTATTAACAACCGCCTGAAACTTCATAAATAGTTTCATCTCATCGTAACCTACACCTATTTTATTTACGAAAACTCTTGGAATTGGGGCGTTTTCAATCTGGAGGTGGGCAAACTTTGTTAACTTAATTAGGTACTAAAAACTCGTAAAAAAAAAACAATTTGCTTTCTACTTTGATCGTAAGATAATTTGATCACAAAATCGATAAAAAAAGGTGGCCTACAAAAATATTGTGCCGTTTGTCCTCTATAACCTCGTTATTTTGAAAATTTGGGGGTGTAAGACTCGCTAAACAGCTCAATATTTTTGAAGGACACCTTTTTCTCTATTTTGTGATCAAATTATCTTACGATCCAAGTAGAAAACAAATGAATATTTACGAGTTTTTAGTACTTAATTAAGTAGACAATATTTCCCTCCCTCCAGATTTAAAACTCCCCAATTCCGAGAGTTTTCATAAATAAAATAGTTGTAGGTTACTATAAGATGAAACGATTTACGAAGTTTCAGGCGGATGTTAATAATTCGATAAAATGGGGTCTGTACCACGGACTATAGATATAATTTTTATAAGAATATAATTAATAATAATTTGGCACATTATTCAGATTACAGCTTTAAAAATAATTTATTTTATTTTGTTATTTTTTTCAAATCATCAACTCCGTTATGTCAGGCTCAGAATTTTTCCGTTGAATTCGCTTTTTCCCACAATCTTTAATATAATTAGATATTATACACAACCCTAAAAGAAAATGGAAAGTTACGCAAACGTATAAATATTCGATATGTGGTAAAAACATGGTAATTATTTTATTTAAATGAATATGTTACAGCATTTGTAATTTTTTACTTTTAATTCCTCATGAAAATACCTATTTCTCTCATTAAGTAGGGCGGTAAGTGAAAGTTTGTGTGATACGAACATCGCAGAGTTTTGTTTTCTGTTCGATTTCGATCTATTCTGCCTACTAAATAATTGCATTTATTTAGTTAACCGCCTGAAACTTCATAAATAGTTTCATCTCATCGTAACCTACACCTATTTTATTTACGAAAACTCTTGGAATTGGGGGGTTTTCAATCTAGAGAGGAGGGCAAACTTTGTCTATTTAATTACGTACTCAAAACTCATTTGTTTTCTACTTGGATCGTAAGATAATTTCATCACAAAATAGAGAAAAAGGTGGCCTTCAAAAATATTGAGCCGTTTGACGTGACCTACACCCCCAAAATTAATTAGGTACTTAAAATTCGTAAATACCCATTTCCTTTCTACTTGGATCGTAAGATAATTTGAGTAAAAAAAAAAAAAAAATCGAAAAAAAAGGTGCCCTTTAAAAATGTAAGCCGTTTGACGTGACCTATACCCAAAATTTTCAAAATAACGAGGTTATAGAGGACAAACCAATATTTTTGTAGTAAACTTTTTTTGTCGATTTTGTGATCAAATTATGTCACGATCGAAGTAGAAAGAAAATGGGTATTTACGAGTTTTTAGTACCTTATTATAAATAGACAAAGTGTGCCCTCCCTCCAGATTGAAAACGCCCCAATTCTAAGAGTTTTCGTAAATTAAATAGTTGTAGATTACGATGAGATGAAACTAGTTAGGAAGTTTAACTAGTTAGGAAGTTACAGACGGGTGTTAATAATTCGATAAAAAGGGGGAGGGGCTCTTTACCACGGACTAATTGATCAAACTTTTTAAATCGATTTACAATTTAATGTCGAATTTTTCAAATGTCTTTCTCAAAATTTCCTTTGAGATAATTATTTATTTGATTATTTGAAATAAAAAAGACAGGAAATTTAAAATATCAAAGAATTCAATTATCAACTTGAGGGAAAAAATAATCCCAAGTAGAAAAATTGCTCTCATATATCTTATTGGTATTCTGAACAATGGTAGCTTTATCTTAATTTCCTGTGACAGTACTGCTTATGACGACTCTCTATTCCAATCCATTGATATTACAAATCTTTGCTTCATTTTAGACTCTCTCACTCTATGTTCTTACATCTACCTTTTTTATACAAGATCAGTGCTGGCTTTAGGGCGGAGCAACCAGGGCCGATCTATAGGGGCGCTCGCCACTTGTTAGAAATAAAAAAAAAATACAAACGTCTTAAAACTATTAATTTTAGCCTATCAATAAAGCAACTGAATCAGAGAAATATCGGATGAAATAAAATTCAAATATTGCGTAGTATAAAACAGCTTAAAAATAAATTAATTTTTTTTAGGAGGGGAGAGACAATATCATTGCTCGGGGGCGGGAGGGGTGGGGGGGGGGTTGAATGTCTAAGGCCGGTACTGTACAAGATCTCATCATATCAATTTGTTTACCTCTTCTCTTTGGAAAATCCTTCATCATTGGAGTTACCTTATTTCGGACTTCCATGCTCATCTCTATTAGATAGATAAATAGAAAATAACTTTATTCTGGGACACAGTCCCTTGAGAATTATAAAATTAAAAGATTACATCTGGCCGAAATAAAATCAATCGAAAAAAAGTAATAATGTAAAGAAAATATAAGGTAAACATTCTATATACAAAACAAACGAAACTGTATACAAAACAATTAACACTATGACAAAAACCTTAAAGCTATTTGCACTGATAGACCAGAATACACTTTTAAGAAAACAATAAAGAATTAAAAAATAAAAATCTATTCATGAAACTTCCTCCCTAAACTCATTTAAACACTTTTTTATTTCTCAGTCTCCTTAATAATTAATGTTCTGCCTATTTTAGAGGAATACATGTATATGTAAATTTTTACTAATATGTACATAAATATTTATTTGCTTATTTATATTTTTAAAGTTATTTATTATTTGTCTGTTAGTTTATAATTTATATAAGTTCCTATAATGCAATTAATGCTCTTTGATTTTTGTTTTTTATTATTCTTAGGAGACTAAGTCTGCCAGAATAAAGATGTCCTTTTCATTTTTTTCTCCTTCCTTATCTGGCCATTTTGGGCGTATGGAGTGGTTATTCTATAGAATAGCTTATTCTTACTATTGAGAGCCAAGATCTATTCTATCATTCTATGGTTCCCTGCCGAATAAATTTCGCCCTGTCCAGTTCAGATTTGAACCAGGGGAACTTTAATTAAGGTTGTCTAAGGTGATGCTTTAGTACTCTCGACCACTATGGCTTTCCATTATTAGTGAAAAAGTTCCCTATTTAAGGAAATTCCATGGTAGTTACATATAATATTACATATTATTTATTAATATTATGTATATATATTAGGAATATATTTTGTATATACTTGGTAGAAAGGATTTTTATGTACGTTCTGAGGGAAAATATGACCTACTAAAAGGGAAATAAAAAAAAATGATTGAAACACTATTCTCAACAGCAGTATTGTTTTCAAAGAAATTTTAGGCTTTTATAATGTGCTGTGGTTTATTGGAGATTTGCTATTACAATGTCTCTTAAGACAACCTATCCGAAGCTTGCAGTGATATTGAAGTGTCTCTTTGTTCTTCTCCATGGTGATTGCTTAATAGCAGATGAATGACTTATGGGAAACCCTGTTGTTGTAGTTCAAGTATTGAAATTTTAAAATGATTCTGTTGATTTAATTTAAAATTCATCTTGTTCAAAAATTATTTAATATATCAATATTATGTCAGTAAAATAATTAATTTCATTTTTAGGTGTCACAAATGGGGCTGGATCTAATGACGGAACTTGTACGGAGGATGGAAGGCTATTTCAAACCCTATATTCCGACTGTCATACCACCTGTTGTCGACCGTCTAGGTAAGATCAAATAAAAGTTAAATCCCTGGGAATCATCCACTATCATTTATATAGTAATTGAGGATGCCTATGTGTACAAAGTTTAGTGTTGAATTCCTGGCATTTTAATGTTTTTTTAAAGAAAATATATGTGTTATGCAAAGTTTAAATATGGTTAATTGTTGATACTTTATAGAATTAGTGTAATAAAAGGGAGAAAAAAAAAGATATATATATATATATATATATATATATATATATATATAATAGAAAAATGTAATGTAATAGCTATATCCATATGGATTTGATCCATAGGAAGTTTGCTGTGTATAAAGCAACTCTACGTAGTAGGGCAGCATTACTTTCAAAAGTAATGCTTAAAGTATTTCTCTCTTAAAAGAGAAGTAACATATGTTTATCATGTATTATTAATTTGTTATATTTTATCTTGCGATATTATATTAAATTTGGACAGTGTAAAAATCTCAAAATATTAACATAAAGTATGTTTTTTTTGTATAAATAATCTAAAAACATATTATCTATCAATATATATAAAAAGAATATTTCAATAAAAGATTAAACTGTTAGAGGATTCTTTCAGTGATGGTGTCGTGAAATTACATTTTTAATTTAATTTGCAAAAGAGAGAATAGGCCACATTGTCATAATCTGTAAAGTATCAAGTGTGGAAAAAACAAGCAAAGCATTTCATATTTAACCTCTTACAGTTACATAAAAAGATAATAAATTCATTCATCCGGTGGTGTATTGTCGCTTTATCACAACTATAATGTGACAAATATGTTTTCATATTTGATCCAGTTGTTTGTGTGCTTGCTCTTAGTTTATCCCATTATATATTATTTTTTAATTTATATCCCTTCTCGGGCTCTCAGGGATGATAAATTTTGACAAATGAGGTGCCAATAGAAAGGGAATATTATGTAGAATGTGCGAATTGAAATTTTAATTCTCAAGTTCATACTAGGACTTAAATATATTTGAATGTTAAAGTAGGAGATTTCAAACCATGTATTGGTACCAAGTTGACAAATCAAGACAATATGATGAATTCGTAATTTGCGAATAACTCAAAAAGTACACAATTTTTGCTTCATTATACCTACATGTTTTGTTAAATGAATTAAATTATTAAATTAATTTATATTTCTGTAAATATGTCATACATCTAACACTTTTTAGAATATTTGTCAATGTGCTTCAATTATATTTGCTGTTATTTTTATATCTTTATTATTGAAGTTTATAATTCTGTAAATTTACTTGATAGTTCGATTATTTTTAATGATAAAATAACACACAGCCTGCTAGGTCCAAACATTCTTTCCTGAGAATTTGAGCCAGTCTTTTGCCATCATCTGATATTTAAAGCAATGCTTAGAAGGTTTTGTAAATTTATGATAATCCAGTGAAACGAGCTAAGGTTAAGCCATTATAAACTGATAGCTTACTAAATAAATGTATTAAACCTATGCTTATAAAACAATACTGAATGGAATTTGTGCTAATACCTCAATGTATTAAAATCTGATACAAATATAAGGTTTGTGTGGAGTATTCAGACAGCTCTGCTATTATTAAGTTATGTTTTTGTATGAAGCAAGATGATGTTATTAATTAAAAATGCCTTTTTTTACCAATGCCTTATACCGGCTATTTACTAAACCTACAAAACTTGAATGAAAAGCTAGGGAATTTTTCAAGCTAGTGGGCACCAGCGCATCTTTTCTGTTATGATTGTGATTCTTGACTGGGAAAGCTTACGACATACTTGCTTAGAGACGCCAAGTATTCAAGGCTGACATTGATGAAATATAGGTCTTTGGCAGTCTGCCTCACTACCCTAATCAGCCATGTTTTGTTCCACACCTTGAACTTCTTCAAGCACGGATTAGAGGGAATAAGCTATCTATACCACTGGAAGTTATAAATTCTTGTGTTTAATCATATGGTAATTCATATGATTAAATACTCCATTCACTGTCACTTCCCAGTTTATCTTATCAATATTTTCAAAATTTATGTCATTTATAGGGTGTCGACCGACCTGAAAAAGTCAGGGAATTTCCAAAACATGGAAAAATTATTAATGTCATGGAATTTTTTTAGTACGTAAATATTTTTTTCAAATTGGAAATAAATATACAGTAGGTATTATTTGTATAGTTCGAATATATATCAACCATGGTCACTATATTCATTCACCTTTGACTGTCAATAACGGCACTGGTCGTTATATTGAAATCAAACAAGGGTAATGAATAAAATTTAAGCAAAATTGACTTAAAACAGTGCTTTTTGAAAAGTAAAAGATACCGACACTATTTACTATTTGTGATATGTACATATCTAGGCCAAGATCTGGCTTGCAAGCACTCATTCGTTCGAACCGTGGTGCTTCTTAAAAGAGCATTTATTAACCAGAAATGTCACAGTGTCATATGGATAATTATTATGCTGTTGATAATAATAAAGAAACTAAATTATTCATGAGAAACTACATTAATATTAGAATCCTCCGTAGCTCACTTTATTTTATAATAGAGAAAATCAGAGCCCTATACGTCAATTATCAAGTTTTACCTCAACTCAGTTTATGAAAATAAAATAAAAGCTTTGAAAATAAATTATAAAAAGTTTAGTTATCTAAAATAAAAAATCCTAATCAAACTTAAAAAATGCTTCCTCTAAAACATTTTTTTTTACTCAAATCATTTTGTAGTCGATTTTCTTTCATTTATAATAAATAAATTTAGTTATAAATTTTTATATATAAATTTATATAAATACATTTTTAATATTTGTGTCCTCAGACATATTGGCCAGGGAAAACTATCCTTAAATAGGGAAATGTCAGAGAATTTTACTTTAACTGTGGTAGTAACACTGATAGTATAGTCTAATTATGTCATAAATTAAAGACAGTAGCTTTTACTATATTTCTTTTTATTCATGTACAAATATTTTTAAATAATGAATATTTGATTGTATTATATTTTTATATACATACCATCAGGTGACAGCAAGGAATTGGTTCGAGATCGCTGCCAGCTTCTATTGAGTACGTTGATGGAAGTGGGTGCGATCACCCCGCAACATCTATGGGATCGATTGGCCCCTGCTTTCGCTCATAAGAATTCAAACGTAAGAGATGAAATTATGAAATGCCTCACTACAACATTAAACCAGTAAGTTTATTATATGTATCACCACTTTTATATTATGTGCAGAGATGGAAATAATTGTTACTATGGTAGCGATCTTGATTATAATAATAAAAAAAAGAACCTGCTAACTTGGTTACACAATTGTATTCATAGTCATGATTTACTATCATACAGCAGTGGTTACGATAGCATTAGTGTATCATATTCTTATTATTTTTTTTATAATAAAAATTGTAATCTTGATCAAGATTACACCCTTCTCGGATGATGTGAATAGTCAAAAATTTCTTCAAAAATAGAAATTATGTTTTCAATATTTTCACAGATATATGGTTCTTTCAGTTTTTGAGTATAAATTTTTACTATTCAGTATGAAACCATAGTTTTATTTATATTGATAAAATTATTTTGTGTTGTAACTCCATAAGTTCCTGAGGTGACTTTGTCATTAACAAACTATTGCTTAGTCTTCGATAACAGTTTAAAAAACATAGCTGTTAGTCTCCTTGACAAAATACTAAAAGATAACTTGAAATACAAGTAATATAACTTAGTGATATGATACTAGTAATAAGTTAGTTTGAAAACTTTATGAATTCGGAATTAATTTTAAATCTGAGTACCGAATTCTTATATAATTGATAAATCTTGTTGTAATTTTTATGTATTATTTAAAACAACTACCAATCTTATAATCTCATTAATTTTTTTTTTATTTGAAAAAAGTCTTGACATTAAATTATAAAATTAATTGGTTTGTTAAAGTTTAAGTTAATTTCTCAGTAAAATTATTATATAATATTGAAACAGTTATATGTTTTATATATATATATAAAATAATAATAAGTCTTTCAGCAGTTTAAAGTAACAACAACAAAATTAAATTTTTATAAGTTATTGATTATTGTTATTAATTTTTTACAATTTCAATTGGATGGGTACTTGCATGAAGTTATAATTTATATTTTTTGATGAGTATTTTAAAACTCTAAAAATTTAAAAACTTGAATTTTCTGATGCATATTTGCAAAGATAGTTAGTGTTAAGAAGAATAGTGGGGACAGAGCTAATTCACCAGAGTATAGAAACTGCTACGTGTACAATTCAGAGTCATAAAGGAGAATAGTAAGTTCCAGGAAAACTCACAAGACATGTAAAGATAGCCATGAACAACTCAAAATGTGCAGTCTGTGTGGGGTCAAATCTTGCTGGCTTCCTGTTCAATCTGGCATTAGAAATGGCTGTCCAAAAATCTGATCTTTAACAGAACTGTATAGCTGTTGGGACATACCAATGACGACGTCATGGCGAACCATTGAAGGATGTGAGGTGTTCATTTCTTTTGAAACAGCTTTTAAAGAATTTGGTCCTACAGTCAATGAGCAAAGAACTAAATATGTGTATCAGTGCTGGTAGAGACCATATATCATTCCTGGATATTGACCCCTATAAGTTCCAAAGGGTGCTAAATTTTGGATGAATTCCAGGATCTATGATGAACTCCAGGAATGAAATGCCTCAGGATATTTGCAGGTGGATCATAGCTGCTATTAGATGCTTTCTCGACCTGTCCAAGCATTTAAGAACCAAATCCTTTCCTGCAGTACAAAAATCAACTTTTATAAGACCTTTGTACATCTAGTGCTCACCTATGGGATAGAGGCATGGGTAACCACCAAGGCGGATGAGAACAGATTACTGATTTTAAAGAGACAGGTACTCAGGAGGATATATGGAGCAGTGAGAGAGGGTGAGGTCTGGAGGAAAAGAAAGAACAGGGAGGTACAATGCTTTTAATGCTACAATACCTTTAAGGTTAATCCTTAAGATTGCCGACATCGTACAGGTTATTTATAAAGCTGGTATGACTCCATTGAGCCGATGATGTGGCTCGAATGGGTGACTTAATGATGCATGGGTGACTTGGTGAAGGTAATGATGCAAGAGGTGCACCAAGCAAGGAGAGTTGGATGGCCCTGTACAAGATGGCTAGATAGTGTGGAAGTGGGTGCGAGGAACTTGCTGAACATCATCTGAACTGGACTGCTGTGGCAGAAGATAGGACTGTCCGGCAGAGGCTGCTCGAAGAGTCCTAGACTTGCTAGCTGGTTGTTGTAATATGTAAGAGATATATATAAAAGGGAACAATCATTCTGAAAAAAAAAAAAAAAAAATCAAATATGTAGCTGATAAAGTAAACAGTAGTGGGAAGAAAACATTTCTGAAAACAGATCTGTTTTACTTTGTAGTGGCACATGAATTTTTCCTTCATTGTGTCCTTCCTTTCCTTCATCTTCTGTTTCGTTTATGTTTGAAAATCCTTCACAGAAACATTCTGTTTCTTCCTCACTCTGCTTCCTGAATTTACATTCATATTGTTTAAAATCTAACAAAATCATATTTTGTTATCTTTAAATTTGCTTTCAGTTATTCAAATAAACTAAAATTAAAATATAATATTGTTTTTATATAAAAAATCATTCATTATGTTAACATTAAGTGGAGTTCACAATTTATTTAAATTAAAAAGTTTCAAGTATTCCTTAATACTTATATTGTTACTGTAAAAAATGTTTGTTATATACTATGTTTGTAATCATATTATTTTAAATTTTTAGACATGGGGCAAATACTGTATGTGTTTCCCGTTTGGTGCCTTCGTTAGTCAAGTTATTGTCTGATCCAAACGCTGCTGTAAGGGACAACGCCCTGTGCACTTTAGCCAATGTTTACAGGCATGTTGGCGATCGACTTAGGGCAGACCTAGTAAAGAAACATCAGTTACCTCCTACCAAGTATGTTAATATTTGAAGCTTTCCCTCAAATCCTATATTATTATAATTATAGCGGTCAAAATAGTATCTAGAGTATTAATATAAACCTAATATTTTTGGTCTTATGATACAACTTACAAAAAGTCGGCAAGATATTTTACTGTAATTTATGTAAGTAATAAAAGTATTCATTTGTTGATTATTATCTAATGGGTGGGAACTGCAAAGAAAAAAAAACTGACCCTATATTATTTATTCTCAATATACATATAGATATTTTTTAATTTGTTTTATTTAATTAATTTTTTTTTCAGAGCTCCTAATCTGATGGCGAAATTGGATGAAATTAAAGCAGCTGGAGATTTTTTCCCCACTGCACATCATTCAGCTGGTAAGTGGTGTTTTTTTACTCAAAAAAATTAATTTTTGTTAGTTCGGTTTTGGAATTTTTTCAATTGAAAAAGTATGTTTTTAAAATTTGTTTATTATATGTATACATATAGAGTGTGTGAATAAGTGTCTGCCATTTTTTTATAGAAATAAAAACTTGATCTAAAATGGTTAGATGCTGGTCATTCAAAGTTTTGTCCATCGTAAGCCACTACTTTCTCCGATCTTTCAGCTAGCATGCAGAATCCACTTTGAAAAAAAAAAAGAATGTCTTTTGAAGCAATTCAATTATCGATCCATTTTTTAATTTCCTCATTAAAATGGAAGTGCTGCTTGAAGGAACAATGCCTGGTGAATAAGTACTGTAATAAGTTTTAACTGGATTTGCAACATGAGGTTGAGCATTATCTTGCAGTAGAATTATAGCGGTCACTTTGTTTTCAGAGCTTGGCTCAAACGCATCATTTGTATTCTATAGCAATCTTCTGTGATTTCATTGGACTAAAGCAGCTCGTAATAAACGAGCTAAACTGATCCCACCAAATGCAGAGCTTGGAACCATGAATTTTGGGGCTTTTCTTTCAATATTGATGCTTTAATATACACTGATAACCCGAGACAAAGAGGATTAGCTCTCGAATACAATTAGTTTTAGTGTTGTTGGCTAATTATTCTTGTCGGACTAACAATTATTTTTCTACACATTGGTTGACAAAAATTCTCTAGATATCAAAAAGTGGAAACTTATTCACAATTATTCAACTTATTCAGGTTAAGAAAGTTTTGTTTAAAAGAGTGTATGTTTTATGGACAAATTTAATGTGTTGTTTTATAAATTTCAAATTATTTATTTGGATCTGATCTTTAAAATATTACATTTCAATTTAGTAAAAATATTGTTACAGTAGTACCAAAATAATGTCTATATATATACATATATATATATATATATATATTTCCAAAACATCTGGGATGTTTTAATTAATTTGTTAAGTGACAATTTCTATGTATATTCAAAGTTAAATTTATAACTTTAAAGTTAAATTAATGCATTTACATGCAATCAATAAACCCATTTTTATTTTACAATACTCAGAATAAATGTATATTTTTTAATATGTTGATTAAAATTATTTTTTTGATATAAATTTTATTTTAAAGTTACATGTCAAAGAAAAACAAAAATTTAACAGAAAGCATTCCTATAATAATATATTATATGTTCTATAATAATATATTACAAGCTATAATAGAAAAAAAAATTACAATCTAGCGATATCTTGCTAGTAATGGCTTGGTTTGATTAACTTCTTGTTTACTCTTTTACCAGCTCAGCTACCCATCATCAGTTTGATTTGTGATTTCCGTTCTAACACATCTCTTCCACTTATCTTAATATTTTGAATAGTTGAAAATAATTAATTTAAAATGTCAAAAATCAGTTTGTTTTATAGTTCTATCTCCTCAGCTTCTAAAAAAGTAATTCTTAATTATTATTTTCTTAGTATAATTAATTTTTGTTTGCAAAGAAAATTCAATCTTTATTGATACTAAAAAAAGTAAGTTTTATCACACCATATAATTGTTTTCTTTCTCACCTTCTTGTTATTTTTAGTTACTATTATTTCGAACAAAAACAAATTACACTATTTACTTATATGTTTATGTTTGTTTCTTATTGTAAATTTAAATTAAAAAATAGCATATTTAAAATTGTTATGACCTATTTCCAGGATTTTTATTGTTTACAAATCAGGTCTCTGATCATAAATAGTTTATTTTTATTTAAATTGATTCTACTTCTGGAAATTTATATTTGACAGTTATGAGAATTGTGAAATTACTAATTTTAGTAAATCCGAAAAAATAAAAATGATGATTACTTATTATATAAAATAAACTATAATAAAGCATTTAGTAGTAAAAAAAAATTATGTATATTGTAAAATGAAACAGTGGTTGGTTTTAGTTAACTCTGAAACTGAGATTAAGTTTCTTGCATATTTTGTTTCAACTTCTTTCTAACTATGGCTTCATTTCTTAGAAGAGTATTTATCTCTTTATTTTATTTTATATATCTCTGTTTTTTATTCACATTGGCAATCACTAAAGCATAAAAATTAGATTTATTCATAACATCAATCAAGACATTTGAAATAAAAAATAATTTAACTAAAAGACCTATTAAGTATTGATGAATATGCCATGATAGTCATAATATTCTTGTCTCCATCTTTACATGTATCTGTTATGGATATAGAAATACTAACTCATCATGGAAAGATTTTAATAAAATATAACCGAATAAACAACATAAATATAAAATTTTAAAAAAGTATATCAAGCAGTAACTTAATAATGTTATATCCTTCATTATATGCATGTCTGATTCAGTTATCGCACAGAATAGTTTGTCTTGACTAGTTTACTGATGATATAAACATAAGTAAGGAAGAAAACTACACCACTTTAATTAAACATAGGAACCCTTATTATGAAAAACTTACAACCTACAAGAGAAAATATAGCAATAGACCAATCAGACAAAATGTCTTACTGTTTAACAAGCATTAAAATGAACAATAAATGAATTAAATCAACTCTGGCCAACCTAAACGGCTTGATGGGCTGCTTTAATGATTCTTAACAAAAAAACTAATCACTCTTTAGGTAAACATAATTTTAATTGAAAAAATAGAACTGTTGTGCTATGATTATAATTATCTTTTGTGTCTTTATTTTTTCAAAAAATTTTTTATCATTTCAGTTACATTTAATGTTCGTGGATATCAAACATAGCACTGGATTTCTCATGCATTATAATAATGGAACATGCTTAATGTCATTTATATCCATATAATGAAAACCAAAACTTCCTAAAGAAATGTAAAATCGACCAATAGGCTGAAAAACTAACTGTTGGTTGTTCAGGTCTGAATTAAATTAATAATGAACAGAAAAAATAAAACCCTTTTTTTGTTATATAAAACATCGGAAGTTTATACGTTGTTTATCAGTTGTGCTTTCAAAAGTTTTAAAAACCACTGTTTTTAGTTATTTGTCATTGAAGTATTATAAAAATTATTTTTATCTAATTAAGATTTTTTAAACTTTAATTTTAAATAAATTATGATTTATATGAATAAATATAATAAAATATATGAGATTTAGAATTTAAATTTTGGCATGAAAAAGCTTCAAATATTATTTTATTATTTATAAATTAGTCTTAAACAAATGAATAGGCATTTAATTAATTTTTTTAAAAGAAAGAAAACTAACTAGCGCATTGTACACGTTGTTATTTCCATACTTACTAATTTATTAATTAAAGTATATTATTATATTTAAAATAAACAATATTTCTTATGTAGAACTGAAGAAATAATTTTTTTTTTTTTTTGGATTCTGAGTCTGGTACCAGGTACTAGGCAATTAGTGTATCTTGAGAAAGGTGAGAGAGACTGTGTTTGTGAATGGTGGATGTAATGGGGAGGGGATGTGGTAGGTAGGATGTGGGCTCAGTCCTGTTCTGACTACCAATATGCTAGTGGCGCGCCACTCTCCTCCTAATTGTCATGATCGACTGGGGGCCTGATGCTGACTGGATTCTCAAATGGGATTTTGTTATTAGGATCAATGAGCGCCTCAATGGTTAGAATGTTTGTCGATTCTGTCAGTGCTGTTTCTTTTAATTAATTTATATATATATATATATATATATATATATATATATATATATATATATATATATATATATATATATATATATATATATATATATGTATGTATGCATATGTTAAAATCGATAATCAAAACAACAAATAATCATTTTATAATAAATTATGATGAATTTATATTGTTTTGCTTTTAAAAGTTTCCTTGATATCACACTTGAATGTATGTTTGTCTAAATATATGTATATATTCATATATTTTATTCTAATATAGTCACTCTATATAGTTAAATGACATTTTATTAAATGTTTTAATGTTCCATATCTATACTATTAGCTATTCTGTATGTGTATAAAATTAAATTATCTATTTTATTCAAAATGTTTGCATTGTTGTAGTCAATTAAATTAAAAAAAAAAAATTTAAAAACTTAAAAAAATATAAAAACGCATAAAAGTAAAATACAAATCTAGCAAATCACGTGTTCACTATCCAGTGCTACTTTTTTACATCGAATCGGTTTATCCATTTATATTATAGAATCTAAGAAGGTAAATTTAGAAAAAATTAAAATATTATATTTACTATAATTTTTTTTTCTATTGCCTTTACCGATCTTTTGCCACTTTTATTTGATTATTTTTATTTTAAATAAATTAAAAAAATGTATTTATTTTTTATTAATACTTTTTGTTATTGAATCCTTAGAATGAGGTTCCAACTCAACTTTTTGGGTTTCAATAATATTCTAAATAAAAAGCCTCTCTACTCGTAAAGTGTATTTTTTGTAGGTCACTTAACTTGCTCAACCACTGCAGCCCCTATTTAATATATTATTACTCGTATTTATAAAATATAGTGAACATAATTATAATTTTATTATATTAATATTTACTATTTTTATTTAGGCGTTAGGAAAAAATAAAAATCAAAAAAATATATATATATTTAGTTTTTGTTATATCTATTTATTTTTAAAAATTTATACACCTAACAAGGGTATAAATATTATGAAATTATGATTGGAATATTTATGGACATCTGAATTGTAATTTTTTTTTTTTTTGTTATTTTATTATTATATAAATTAAAAAGTTTTAGTTTCTGGAAACAATTATCTACACATTTTTTAATTTGGTTTTAGAGAATGATTTGTTTTGTTTTTTAACTTAAATTTTCAATTTTAATTATTTTTTTCAGACAGTAAATTGTTTAACTCTAATATAGTTTTTTTTTTTTAAACTTTTATTATGATATTTACAACTGTATTAGTATGAATACATCAAGTAAATGTGTACATAGGAATATAATCACATGATACACGCTTGTTGAGAAACCACCCATTGGTAGCACTCTAATATAGTTCGTTAGTAAATAATTTTTATGGAGTATTTATGTTTACCTCTCCTTATATTCTACATTTTATCTCAGTTATTTTGGATTTTTATTAATTTAAAAATATCACATGCTCAAAAAAATATGTACTTACACCTATTTGGAGGAATTTTATGTAATAGTATTATTTAGTTAGACATGCGTTGTCTATTACATAATGGCAGTCTCTTCTTAGAGTATATAATGAGGCATTGATTTTGTCACTTGAGTGAGTTTCTTTTTCAGCTTGTTATTTATCATGTTTGTGGCTCTAAGAACAATACTTTTTTTTTGTTTTATAATTTAGTAATTAGTAGTTTTGTTATCCCTGAAATACGTCAAACAAAATAATTAACAGAACAATGTATTTTTTTTTGTCATTAACTAATTATTTCATTGTCAAACTGAAATACGAACAAAAGATTTTTTTTTCTATTTAAATTATCAACTTTTAAGAGTTAAAGAAAGAAATAATCTACAAACATATGTGAAATATGTTAAAATAAATCTCTATTAAAAAAAATTTATATTAATGCAAAAAGAGAAAAGAGCTATATTCTATATCGTACTTTGTATACATTCATTGGAATTTTAATTTTAAATACCCCTAACTATAAAAAAAAAGGAAAAAATGTAATTAATAAAATATCATATATATATATATATATATATATATATATATATATAAACTAAAATCAACCAAAATAGTACTTGGTTTCGATAGTATGTGTTTTAAAAAAAACAAAAATTTTATTTTGTTTTGTCTTTTCAAAAAACATTTTTTTAATAATAAATTGTTATTTTATATTTCATTGAAAAATGGATAATTTTTCAATAGTTATTGTAATATAATGTTTCAACTTATTCTCCTGATTTTTTTTTTTTTTTTTTTATTTAAAAGGAAAAAAAAAAAGAAGAATTTTCTGCCTTCTTTATCATTAATATTTCTCATACCTTCGATATATTTAATGTTGTTTTATATATTTTTTACTTAAACTTTTTTTTTTTTTTTTTATCCTTAGATTTACATTTTTAGTTGTTACAAATCGTATGCAGATTGACATTAAAATAAAAAAACATTTAAGTTAAAAAAAGAACTAAGTTAATTGTTTTTATATTTACAATTCAATGAAATGGAGCACAATTTTTGTTTTTTAACTCAATTAACACAGATTTTGTAATAATATAATATAAAAAACTAAAACGAATAATAGGTGTGTTAACTACATGCATTATTGTACAATTTGTTTTTTAAAGAAATATATTAAGTCCATATATATTTTTTATTTTTATTGTTTATTTGTTATCATATATTGTTAATTTTATTTTTTAGGTTTGTTGGATGAAGATGAGACAGATAGGAGCGCGGTGAGTAGTGAGAAAATTCCCATTGTCTTTTAATCAATTAATACGTTGGGAACTTTTCATAATTTCTCTTTCAATTTTTTTTTTTTTCTTTTCATTATTATTATTAGTAGTAAGCTTGATATCATTATTAATAATCATAAAAAAATTGTACAAATCAAATCCTTTTAAAAGTTTTAAAGTAAATAGTAATCAGGGAGGTGATATTAAAATAAGCTAAAGTTTAAACTTCTAATTTTGGATTTACTAATAATTCACTTTGGGGTCATATATCTGCTTAATTTGTTTGAAAAATAATTTACCTGATAAATAATCAGTAATATTGTATAATGCAATTTTGCAAATTAGACTTGTTGCCCTTGCTTCCAGTCTTGAGATTTTTTTATTGTACAATTATAGATTTATAAAGAAAAAAATATTGATAATAATTATTTACGTTACAGTTGAACCTCTAAATATCTAACTTCCATTCATTGAAATTTCTAAATACAGTGGCTCACAATGAAATTGATACACCCTGTAGAAAAAAAAAATTGTAATAGTAAACAATTTTTTTGTTAAATTATTCCATTCTTTGAGGAGATATATTTGAAGTCTTCTTTGTTAGAAATTTTGTGTTTTTTTTTAAATTTCTACCTCCAATTTTGGCCAGAGGTGTTCTATTACATTAAGATCTGGTGACTATAGTGTAGTTTTTATAACGTTGGGGGGGGGGGGTAGTTATAAAGTAGCCATTCCTTAACTAACTTGGAAGGATTTGTCGTAATTATCCTGACAAATACAAAATTTGTTTTTTATCTCCAGCTTTTCCGCAATTACTTTCAAATTTCATCTCAAAATATCTATGTAAACATTTTTATGCACTAAAACATCTGTAAAGTTGAGATTACCTAACCCAGAAGCCGCCATGCACCCCCACACCATAACACTACCACCTCCATGCTTCACGGTTGGGGGTAAATTGTTTTTGTTTTTTTTCAATGTGATACAAATCTATCATTTCTAACTTAATAATATCTATACAGTGCCTTGATGAAAAGACAATACCAAGTATTAAATGAGAGGTATTTAGGCGATTAAATATTTTTTTTGTTTGGCGCAGGTGAAATAAAATGCTTGATACTGTTTCAGCCGCCGTCAGCTACCAAGCGATCAGCCAGTGTCACTCGGAAAAATGTCTCCTCCTCTGCTTCGAAACCTGCATCGCACGTCCCAGGTCTGTTAAATAAAATAGAAAGGGTTGCATTTTACTTGCGATCGGTGTGTGCATGATTTTGACAGCGTAGAGTATTTTATTTATCCGCCAAGTATTCTTTGAACTAATAATTTTTTTTACTCTTTTTAATGTAATTTGTTTCCTTTGTTTGTTACATATTGGAAAAACTTACTATTTTATAGCTTGCTATGCCTTATGAATTTAGTGCTTAGATGATATATTTTGGCTCATTAATTAATTTGTATGATAACTAATATGATAATGTCGGATGGATTTTTATTTTATGCACATTCAATCAATATAAAAGTGGAATGGCTGCATCAATTTTTATTGTTATAAATATGTACAATGGAAGAAAGAATTCCTCAACATTAAATGTCAGTTTTATTTACTGATAAAAATAAGATCATTTAATTTAAAATAATTGAATATAAGAATATTTAATTTATTTTTAATAAACACATTTGACAAAAAGTTATACTTTTATTTAACTTCAGGCTTAATGTTGGATAGATATTTTTTAATATCATCATTTTGCTTTAGTTACATAAAATGCAAGTTGAAAAATTAATTAAAAATTTGCTCCTAAATCGCAGCTAACAATCAAGAGGCTTAAAATAAATAAATTAGAAAACAAATAGTATTGTTTTCTGTTAATAAGTATTTTGGAGATTTTATTATGAGTCGTAATAAAGTGTATGGTAAATTCTATGAAATATGACTATAGTCCAGTTCTGTGAAATGTATTAATAATCTAGTTTTATTTTATGTAATATAAGTTTAGTATAGTATATTTTTAGTAAAAATTAATTTAGTTAGTATGTATTTAACCAAATAATTAATTAACTCATTGTCCAAAAAGTCTTCAATTTGATATTTTATCAATCTTTGGTTTATGAATTATCTGGAAAAATAAATTTTCTCTAATTGATTTAATTTTAACCATATTTATTGGATTCTAGTAAGGTTTTATCTCTTAAACGGGTTTATTTTTTAGAAAGTTTTCCATTATATTATAACTTCTACGATTTTGTTTTTTGTATCTCTTTTCCGCAAGCAGCCCCCTCTTCTTGTACTGCTACTCCGAGTTCAGTACCAAATTCAGCATCGAAATTCAGCCGGACTGGTTCCCTAAGAAAACCAAGTGCAGGTAATGGTTCTTTTCTCTATCTAGATGAAATTTTCGGTGGTTGGTTTTTTTTTTATATTTTGGTTCTGATATGTAATATTTGTTGAAGTTATTTTTTGTTTACTAACAACAAAAATTTATTGTTATAACAGCATTTTTATTATGTTATTTTGTTATTTTATTAGAACTAGAATTACTGTATATAATTGGTTAACATTCTTACTCGGAATTGGACACATGTGCTTATGAGATTTGTATTGCACTTAAATTGTGAGGGGGAAAAATTCAATTTATATGAAAAATAGTAAACCAATTCTTACACCCCACTTGGTTAGTTTGATTCATAGGGAGGGGTAATAAGGGGGTGTTGGAATAACCCATTTTTAAAGATGAAATATAAAATTTTACATGCTTCAAAACTCAATATTCATATATTTCATCTGATTTTTCGTTAATTTAAAAAGTTCTTTCAAGTATCACTCGCCATTTTCATTACACTGATTCAGTCAACTTTGAAAGTTTCTGTTCTTTCTTTCAAGCATTTTGTCCTGTTATTTTTGCAATTTCAGCATGTATATTGTCCTGTAGGTGTTCCATGGTGTCGTTATGAACAGGGGATTTGAGATAACCACCTGGGAAATATTCACCGGGAAGATAAATCATGAGAAAGTGCCATTCAGGCAAATAAGCCACTCAGGAAGATTTCTTTCAAACGATCCATTGAGTGGGGGCGGGCGAGCTAACAGGTGTGCTCAGGACCGTGTGTTGTCCAGCAACCTGATAACCAAAGTTTGAGATAAAAAAAAATTACAATTTCAAATCCCAGTGCCTAGTGGGACTTTTAACTCAGCATAATTCTCCTGCCCTTTCCTCCGGCGCAGGAAAAATCCGTGTAACTTAAAAGACAAGGAAGTGGAGATAAAAAAAAAGTCTATTGATTCCTAGATGTGTGGGTTTGTATCGCTATCATGTTAAAAGCACATATTTTCCTGCTGTATTGCTATATTTCCAACAAAAGCTCTTGAATTATCATTTTCTATTAACGGCCTGAATACATGGAAACAGTTCTACGATTTTCTTAAAGAAAGTAAGTGCTAATGATCCCTCCTCATAAAATAGCACACCTTACAATGACATGCTATAATAAAGGATTTAGTATATTCTATTTATTAACACAGCCATTAAGTTGGAAATGTGCCTTGTTGGAGAAGAATGCCAGTGTTTCATTGGTTAAGGTGTTGACCAGAAAACGTGATTGCTTAGGATATCTCAGTATATATAAGCAAACAACATTTTCAGGTGTTTTAACATCTCTCTTTCTTTTGTTAATGTTCTCTTTTTTTATGAAGAAGTCAATCTTAGGGGTTTTCAAAGTAAGTGCAGCAAGGAGCTGTTAAAAAATATACCTGTTATATTCCACACCTAACATTGAATACTCATTGTTATATGGTTGTAATAATGGCTTATTATCGTCAATCAAGAACCATGTACAGGGTATTTTAGGAACTTGGAATGAACCTAAAAAAAAATTAGTAAATAAGTAATAGCTGTTATCTGCTTAGTTTGCATGTTTTCTAAAAGGCAACAGCGTTGGTTGATATTTTAGAATGATTATATATTTTCCTATTCTAAAAATTATTGAAAGTATTTGAATAAGGTCTTTCTAGTTAAGATGCTACAACAAGCTCTTGTCCTAATGTCTCTCTCTCTATTTATCTTAATGCTATGTTCTGTCTAATATATTTTAGCGCTCCTATAATTATTATTCTCTTATATATTTAATTTATTATTTTAATTACACTTCAACGATTATTAGTTGGCAGTCATTTTGAATTAGGTTTGAAAACTTATCATTCCTCATTTCCCCAGTATTCTTTGATAAGTTATCTTTTTTATATTTTATTGCCAATTTAATATTGAATGCTTTATAACAATGGAACGAACAGAAGATTATCGCTAATAGACCAAGTACCCAAACAATAACCCAGCTGCACCCAAAAATACTACTTAATTAAAAAATATTCTTTAAATTTTTTGCAGTCCATCCTATACAAGAACAGATCCTGATATTTTTTTTTTTTTGTAGATTGTTGCAATTTATATTTGTAAGTTAAAATGTATTTTTATCCTTAACACATCCTATATTATTTTTGATTTGTTTATACTGTTGTGTGTTTCATTGAAAAAACAAAACAAACATGGTGGAAAACCATATCTTGTTGAAAACCGGCTTTCATATTTTGTTGTAATACTGCTTAGCTTTATTTCTGCATGATTTTGTGATTTGACTAAATAAATATGCGCTAACATTACTTCTTTCAGGCTGTTTGTTAAGTTTTCTTTTGGTTGTTATAATGTAATATTATAATTTTGATTGCTATATATATATATATATATATATATATATATATATATAATTTTCTTTATCTATCATTATGTACAAGCTGTTTAGTTATTTTAAATTATTTTTATCATGTCAAATTCTAATAGCATGATTTGTTTATATATATATATATATATATATTGTTCTTTTATTTTTTTCTTAAAAGTTAAATAAAATTAATAATGGATCGGTGTTTAGCTGGATCGGGTCCTGCTGGCGCAGTCGACGAAGATGGCTTCATTAAAGCGTTTCATGATGTACCAAATGTACAAATATTCAGTGTTAGAGACTTGGAAGATTCACTCAATAAAGCTAGAACTGTTATAGCTGACCCAAACCAAGAATGGAATAAACGTGTGGATGCTGTAAGTAGACATTTTGTATATATATATACATATATTCTATTTGTGCTGTTTTTGAAAATTAATTTATATATATATCTTTTATTTTATTTTTTTCAGATAAAGAAGATTCGCTCACTACTCATAGCAGGTGCTAGCAGTTACGAAGAATTTTACAATCATTTAAGATTACTTGATGTCCCATTCCAAATATCTGTTAAGGAATTAAGGTATTAAATTCATGATACAATCATACTAAGTATTATCTATTTCTGTGAGAAGACATTATTGGACCAAAATAAAGAAAGATTAACTAAAATTAACAGACAATTAAACCCTCCCCCTTTCCCCCCTTTTTTTTTTTTTTTTTTTTTTTCACCCAATTTTATGAAATTAAATTTGGATCCTTCCCTTATAATAGGAAATCCATCTCAAAAAAAGATTCTCAAATTTTAAATTTACACCCGTCAACGACGGGTATATCAGCTAGTCTTAAATATAAATATATTATCAAACCAAGATTTAAAAAAAAATAATATCTAAAATATACAGTCGTAGAAGGTAAAAGTTACCAAAGACTACTTTATTGTTAATCTAGTACAGATGGTTCAGATGATGTGGAAACACCTTGAAACATTAGAAAATTTTTTATAAAATCGGTAAACAAATTTCTTATCTGTAAATTTTTATAATGTAGTGGTCACATATCTTAATCATACATTAATACATTTTCTCAATCAGTATTCTATTCCTTCTGTTTCAGATCTCAGGTAGTGAGGGAAGCATGTGTAACATTAGCATTTATGTCTCAACACCTGACGAATAGGTTTGAACATTTTGCTGAAAATCTTGTTCCAGTTCTGATTAATTTAATACAAAATTCAGCTAAGGTATGTGTAATTTTTTCTTTAAATAAATTTTAAATCTATTTTGTTTTTCATCTATTTTTGTAGGGTTTTTTGAAGTGTGATCGATTGTTATTGTATTAGTTAATACTACAAGGTCTCTGGTACGGATTGGGTTTTAAATTATTATTGGTTAATTATTAACAACAGTAATTAATGAACTTTTAAATCCAATGTTACTCAACTAAATTCCTGAGGATAAAAAACGTAAGATTTGGCATGCAAACAAAAATATAAGATTATAAACTTAAAAAAAATTGTTTTTATTATTTAAAATCACCAACAAAGCTTTGGACAGGGTAGACACTCTGTGAACTCCTCTTATCACCTCAATTAAATATCTATTTCATTCCACACAGGTAATCGCTAGTGCTGGCCAAGTATGTATTGGCTTCATCGTACGATATACCCACTCTAGTCGATTAGTACCACATATTTGCTCAGGATTGTCATCGAAATCTCGCGAGATAAGGAGAGCTGCTTGCAAGTTCCTTCATATAATTCTTTCTACCTGGTCTGGCCACATCCTCACTAGGCACTCCGCCTTACTGCAAAGTGCGATAGGTTCAGCGATCGCCGATGCGGATCAGGAAGTTCGTGGGATTGCGAGAAAGTAAGATATTTTAATTCCTAATTTGGTTAATAGTTTTCGATTAATATTAAAGAACATGTAAATGTAAGTGAATTATACTTTTAATAGTGTAGTTCCTTTTATTAATAGTGCAATGTTACAGAACAAAGTTTCTAAAAAATAATTTGTTATAAGTTGATGTGATATTGAATCAATTTTTATTTTGTTAAAAACCATCTTACTTTACAATTTCATGTTTAATTATATTTATATATATACCAGGTATGTAAATATGAATCCGGAATTTTCATATGGAAAATATGGAAAATAATGTTAATTGCACAAAACAAATTTATTTGAAATTTTGTACTTATCTGTCGCTACATACTAGCTATACATTTTTGCCATCTGTCAGGCAATTTATAATTTACACATACCTTTATGTCAGAAAAACAGTTGCTCTTTTGTGGCATACATGTCATCAAGCCATTTTCACAAGATATGAAGCACTGCTGAGCAAGTGTGTGCCCCATCGATACAAATAAATAGTAGTTGGACACGGCAAAATTTTGTTGAGTAAGCCAATTGAACTAATATTTTCCAAATGAACACCTCAATCATGTCCACTGGTTTTGATGTGTGAAATGTTTCATTATCATAAAGCAAAATTACTTTGTGTTGTCTTTTTTACTATTCTGGCTGTTATTCCACAATAGCCAATTTAAATTGATCAATTGTTGCCGATAGCATCCAGTATTAATGGTTTCACCAGGAAAACCTGTTATAAGTAGCTCATAATAAATATCACACGTGTTCCACATTCTTCTATTCTCATGTCAAAATTGCTATTTTTTAATTCACTTAAAGCACTGTGATTTGCCAAGATCATATTTACCATAACTCACGACAAGCATTTGATGCACTTCTGCAGCAGTTTTCTTTAAGTAGTAATAGAAAACTATTGTCCGCAAATTGTAGTTTACATAAAACTCAGCATGTTCAATACTATTAAAACGATGCTGTTATATGAAACTTGTATTGTTTTGTGTTAGAAATCTTTGCCAGTTGTTGAAGAAACAAAATGGTTATAATGTGTTTTAAAGTAATTACAATACAAACTAGAATCATTTATGGCGCATTTCGGGGTCATATTTACACACACTCACGTATATATAATAATAATAATATATACATATTATATATATATAATTATTATTACATCCTCTATGTGTTTTTAGAGCTTATTGGGCATTTAAAGATCAGTTTCCCCATCTTGCTGAAAGTCTTCTGGATAACTTGGATGCCAACTACAAACGAAGCCTTCATTCCGATATGTCTAATTCGAGTTCTTCTAATTCTCTTCATCACCAGCCTACCTCTGCCACCCGAAGACAAGGTACCAGTATTTTTTCATTACACTTATCGCTTTAAATCATTATTACTTATGATTTTTGAAAAAATGTCTATTAATCATTTTTTTTATTTTTATTAACAATAATAGTGCATTATTATGGAGCATATCTGATGTTTATGGATAATTTTATTAGTAACGTAATAATTAGTATTGACGATTTTTTTGTTGTAAGAATTGGAATCTGGAGGACTTTTTTGTGTTATAGCTAATTATTTATTTTAAAAAATATATCACCTCTTAGAATAAATTTTATTTACGAATGATGAAACAAATCGGTTAAACAAAACATCAAGATCTGATATTGCTTTTTAAATTAATATTAATCATCATACCTGCATTATGATCTCTTTTTGTAGTAAAAGTGTATTTAGTTGGCATTGTTATTGCTTGTTTAAATATGATATGGACTTTGTAGGAAGCACAGAAAATCTCACGAATGGCAGAAGAAGTAGCAGTTCATCTATTCCAGCGAGCAGGCGCCTAGAATCAGGTTCAAACATTATAGTCTGCCTATGGTTTTCTCATTGCACTGTAGACTTTTCGTACTTTTGTTTTTACTTTTATTTTTTCTTTCTTTTTGGTTGATTGTTTCTCCTTTTTTTTATGCTATCATACCAAAAATTTATTGATTATGTTAGCATAAAACTGCCTTTGAAGTTGTTGCATGTTATCATTTTCATATTTCCACCTTGACTTTTTAAGTATTCTTTTATTTTTATGAGTGATTATTAATCTTGCTTTTTCATTTTCTCTTAATCTACACGTCAAGAAATATCTTCTAATATTGTTTTCTTTTGTTTGTTTTTTAAAAACATGGAACTGCTTAGTTGTTTGTTTTGTTCAGATGAATAGATTACCTTTATAGAAATATCACGTTTCAAAATACAATGCTTTCTAATTCTACGCATCATTGTTTATTTATTTGAAGAAATTAATTTTAGAATGAAGCTAAAAGTTTTTATTGTATTAAATAAAACAGATGAAAAATTAATACCCTTACAAAGCGACCTTGATGAAGAGAAATTGCTAAATAGGCTATTTAAGTAGCTATGGATATTAAAGTTAAGTGATTTCCAGCAAGATCATCATATGGATAGGTGACCTCAACAATAGACCAAGGTAGGTTGGGGATCGTTAACTTAAAGGACAACTCATCCAAGCCATAGGACGAGTCAACTCGAATAGATAGTCTAAGTTTTTAGTAACAATTTGACCCTCGAGTTGGTTCTAGACTGTAAGCCTAGAAAGCCCGGACAAAACTTTCAGACAAGGAGTTAATAATTATATTTTATCAATCAAGTGAATCTTTGAATTATTAAAAATTTTGTTTAAAATTTATGTGAGTATATATATTTTTTTTAACGTTGCAATTTCTTCTTTGTTACAGTAGAATGAATGATTATAAAAGAAAAAGATGAAGTAAAGGAAAATACTGTAGATGTTATATTAGGGATGTTGCAATTAATTTTATTGATCAAAATCATTTATTAGTGATTTTGGTTTTATTTTAACTAACTGTTGTATTATTTTTTTCTTATGCCTTTATATACTAACTGAATAAAATATACTAAGTAAAAGTATTTTAAAAAAATGTAAGAACACTCTAAACTGACTGACATGTAATTCCTAATTCCAGCTATCATAATCATATTAAGTAAGCAAATAAAAATAATAAATAAATTCCTTAATATTTAAATTGAATGTATAAACTTATGGTTTTCTATGTGCAGTTAAATTTATAATAGTAATAATAAGTGAACTGTAAAGCTTAATGAAATGTAAATTATCAAGTTTTATGTAATTATTTTGTTGACATATAGACTGACATCTTCACTTTTAATCATGCCAGTTATAAATTAAGAATTTAATATAGTGTAAAAATACTGTAAACTAACTGTGACATGTAACTCCAGTAATTGTAATCATATTAAAATTATTGGTTTAATAATTATATCTTATATTTTAAATTCTCATTTATTTGCTGGTGATAGGACTATAATCTAATATGCTAAATTCGAGAAAACTCCTCCATATATTATTACAGTAAGGCTCGAAATCGGTTTTGTACCAAATATAAGCTCCTTTCATGCTCAAATACCATGAATGGAGTACCGTTGGATTCAGAATTTCACGGGAGGTTACGGAACCGTACTCTCCGCTGTTGGTTTTCTTTTATAAAGTTGATATAAACATTTTGCTAGGCTTCAATACTGGAGCGGCGGTAAGTCTTTAGATCGATGCGGGGCAAGTTGAGCATTGAAGATTTTAATACATACATCAAGACCCAGATAGTTCCTTCGAAACTATCAGACCCAGCGTTCTTAAGCCCTCAAAAATGTACTATTTTTGAGATAATGCAAGGCAAAGGATTCGCGTATTTATCTCGCCTCACAACCTTACATTAATTATAGTGCTGCCATGGAATACATGTCTCATTTCATGGACTTGAGGTCCCTATGATTGAGAGAGAAGGAGTTTATATTGTTTATTAAATGTGTTTTTTTTTTTTTGTCAGTAATCCATATCATTGTTAATTCTTCATCAAATCCCAAGATTAAGCCACCAATTTTGAAGGTTCCCTTCTCCTTAAGGTGGGAAAAATTACAATATGCTTAGTCGAATTACAACGAAAATCCAGGCAAAAAAGTTATGGTTTATGGTAAAGTAGATTTTCCAAAATGATCTATGAATAGAACAATAGGCATTGTACTGTTCTAAGTAATGTGTTGAAATATCTAGAATATCATTGTATGTATCCCTTCAATCATTGAGTTCCAGTTTTGTTGTTTGTAGGTCGTTAGTCTGTATTAAATAATTTTACCTGTAGGTTTATTAATGATAAACTGTTATTCATAGATTTAGTTAATCATTTATTTATTTCTGCGACTTACCTACAAAGCTCTGTGTATGGAGTCTGTTGGATAAAATCATTAACAATTTAGTAATGATAAAAATTTTAATTATAATTAATAAATTTAGAATTATCCACATTTTGATAGTTGGTTGTGTCATGCAAAATGTTAGTTTTTGAATGTGAATTATTAATTAAACAAAGATATCTTTATTCTTTTCGGAATACAGATATTAATTAATTGATGAATATGATTTGGAGGTAATAGGATGTGATGAATAAAATCTTTTTTGAATTTTCCTAAACAATACAACAAAGTCCACAGCCTAAAATTTGAGCTATTTGAAAGGCCTTTATTGTTAATTATTATTAATTCTTTTCTATAAAACGTAATTGAATATTTTCTTTATATCTTCTTAATTAAGAATATCTTTATATATTATTTCTCAAAGGTGTTTTTTTGTCAGTGTGCCATATCTTTCTTAATACGCCATCAAATCTCATGTGTGCCATAATTTTCAAGATTGCCTTTTTTGACTGTGCAGAAAAATATAAGTAGAAAAAAAAGTTATAATTTAAGGTAAACTTTATTTGGGCAAAACTCAAAAAAATTAATAGTTATGATTGATTATGTATAAGATAATTAAATTTCCTTCAAAATGAAAATGGGTGAAAGAAAAAAAAAACATTGAAATGAGACCATTATTAGCCTAGATACAGTCCGTTGAAATTTGCATGTATGTTTTGTTTTCTTTTTGATAAAAAAAGACTTTAAAATTTTATTGCATTTACTCAACCTATATTATATTACCATTTGGGCTAACTGGTTAATATAAAAATAAATTAAATCATATCTAAAAATAACAGACACTGGTTAAAAATGTCAAATTTATCTTCTTGCTTAGGTTCTTGTTTAGGATTGGAGGAATCCATGAAGTGTGTGTCTAACCGTGGCTTTCATTGAGATACCAAGATTTTCACCATGGTAGTTCGTTACAGGAAGGCAATGCTACCGAAATAGTTATAAGGAAATATTAATTTTTTATTTATTAAATATTTAAAGTATATATATATATATATATATATATATATATATATATATATATATATATATATAAACATACATACATGGAGTGATTGAGGTGGCATTCTTTTCCTGGTCATAAGTTCTGCTCTATATATTGTCCTTGCTTTGTCATACAATACAATCTTTATTTTTGAGTAGTTTTAGCTCAATTAATTTTAGAAGGTAGGAAAACTAATAATGAACCTGTTTTGAAGAATTAAAAATTTTGTTTTATTAATTTTATTTTAACATTTCCTGTGATACAACTGACTTGTGGTTTTATATTTTTTTATAACTACAATAGTAGTATTGTTGTGCTTCCTAACTTATAATGTGTTATATGCTTGTCTTTTGTTATACTATTAAATCTTTATTTTCATCTTGTTGTCTTTGCTTTTGTTATTACCTGTGAAGCTTCCAATAAACCACCAAATGAGTTGTGACATTGTTGACCGTATTTCAGTATATGCACATTGCATGGCTTTAGTAGTTAGATTAAACTTTTCTTTTTAGTTATCCTTTGGTGTTTCCTATTGATGTCATACCAAATTATTTTATATTATTGCAAGATTATTTTTTATTAGATGGTTTTGTCATTTCAGTCAGCATTATTTTTATTGAGCATCCTGATAGTTGGTCTTTTAGCTTGTGAGAATGATTTAATGAAACGAGTCGTGGTATTATTTAAAATACTAAAAGAAAGGTTTAAAACATTGCTTTTGGGCTATGAGCACAGATCTCTTTACCATGGATAATGGACGAGCACACCCTGTAGCAAATATGTCTAATCCATTCGCTTACTGCTGTAGGCCAGCTATTTTCCTGTTATATTATATTTTAAATAGCAAAATTTTTTATTTGTTTATACTTCATTCATAAGTAACTGTGCTATTGCTCAATATTAGATTACTCACTCATTGAATATCATTAGACTATTTGAATCAGTACACGAGTCTATCTTAATTTTAGTTACCGATTCTGTAGTATATATCTCTTTTAAGAAATATTTAGTCTTGAGTCTTAGTCACAACCTTCAAACCAGAATATTTTCAATATTTCTGCGATGGTTTGTCACAAAACTACTGTACAGTCTGTGCTTTAGATCACATGATAGAAGTGAAAACATTAACAATGCGAGTTTAGTAATATGAAATATACATTTTTTTTTGTTCTATATTCACAAAGTAATAAAATTTACAATTTTTTATAATTATAGTTGTGTATAAACTACTTTTTGTTCTATTCTCGTGTCAAAAGTATTGTAACACCCATAATTCTAGAGATTTTCTTGGTTTTGATCTTGATCCATACTTTGTTTATATTTATAGGAATATTATTTATTAAATGAAAGTTTAATGGGTTTAGACACATCATTTTTATTCACTGTTTACCAAAAAACGATGCAATTTTGGTTTACTCATTTCAAATTTCCTTTCAGTCCATGTTTATCTTTCGTTTGCCTTAAGCCTATTCTGTCTTTTCTCCTTAGCCTAGTTATAATAATTAATTTTATTCACAATGAATCCTTTAAACCATGATGATTAGGTCGAAATCATCGCTCTCTCTGAAGAAGGTAAATCATTGTGTTACATCGCTAATCGCATTAGGATTCACTATTCTTCTATTTCAAGGAACATAAAAAGGTACAGGGAGACTGGTAGTCATTTGAGGCGACCAACTTCATGGCGTCCCAGGATTACTAATCCTAATCCTATAGATGAACAATTCATTAAAATGCACGCACTTCAGAAGCGTAATTCTACAGATTCTTCCATTAAAAACTTGAGCACTAATGTTCGAGGGATGTCAACGTTCATTAGAAGACAGAGAGTCAAACATCAGCTCAAGAAAGGTCCTCTTTTCATCGCAGAACACAAGACTGGAATAGAAAAAAGTTTTATTCACTGATGAGACAAGAGTGGCCCTTAACAAAACAGAAGACCAGTTTGGAGAACGGTATAGTCAATGCTGCACGTTAGAAACTGAGCCATTGATGGGAATTTATATCATGTTCCAGGTTGGCATGTCTTGGGAGGCACGTACCAAGTTAGTGCCAATTCTAGGAGAGGCCTTGAATGCTTTGAGGTATATAGAAATGATTCTTCAAGATTATATAGTACCTTTTATACCGTCCATAGGCTCTGAATCGTTTGTCATGCATGATAATGCCCGTCCTCACAAGGCAAGATGTGTTTCTGAATACCTAAACACCACAATTATCCACACCATTGATTGGCCAGCAAAAAGTCCTGCTAACCCAATCGAGCACATTGGGGATTATCTCATAAGAAAGGTTCGGTCACAAGATTCACCTCCTTGTGAATTGAGGCTGTATTGGAGGAGTGGGACAATATACCCCAAGATTTTTTTCAAAATTTTTTAACAAGCATGCCAAGACAAGTGAAAGCGGTCATTCAAGCCGGAGGGGGCAATACGTCTTATTAAATACAAATTTAAAATTTAGAATTGTAAATAAGGAAAATTTTAAAAAGTAAGTTTTCTAAATGTTTTGTTTATTGGAAGTAGTATTGTAATTTATTTTAATAAAATTTATTTATATGTTATAGCCATAAATGAATAGAAACACATAATTTCTTATTTTTATGGCTAATTAGAAAAAAAAATAACTATATTGACTTCCGCAAATGTTCAAAACAATCGCCTTATTTGATTTTTTGGCGCTATCATTTTTCCTTCCGACTCTCTGACTTGGCGGCACCTCAAAATACAATTTTGATTTATAGCTCATTACAAAGAAAATGAAATGCTGAACATCATCTTTGATTACAGCATACAGGTCCGATTTTTTGTTTCTGAGATAATTGAATCCATATCTTCAATATGGACTTGTTATCATTTGGTTTTCAACATTGGTTTTTTCCCTATTCGCCTCTCTAACCCGGCATTAATAATTAGCAGCTATAATTAAGTTGAATTATAGCTCATTGCAAAGAGGGTGGAATGCTGAACATTTACAGTATGCAGGTCTGACTTTTAATTTCTGGGATATTTTAATCCATAGCAAAAATACTTCAATTAGTCAACTCAAGCTGACTTTACCCAAATGAGCATTACACACCCGAGACTGATGGCTCTGTTTCATTCACTCCTCACAAAAAAAAGTGTAAAACATGCCTAACGAAGTTATCACTTCAAAAACTTTCAGTGAGCCAAGTAGTAACTTTGTTTATACTTCATTTTGTATGAAGATTTATATTTATTGAATATTATTACTGATAAATAATATTTTAAAAAATCTAATTATGATCAGAAGTCTTACGAATTATAAAATCCCAACACAATGAAAAATATCTCATATATTGCAAATCCTTTGAAGGAGTTATGATTCATTTGTATCTTTATTTCAATTAAGATTCTACATTATTACTTTCACTTATATATCATTTATTATGTTGTGCTGATAAAAAATGTTTCTACAGGCTATATTTTTTATTCTGCAACATGACACTGTTGCTCGTTAATCCGTTATAGGGTTTATAACTTTTTTTTCCATTTTTTATTACCTCCTATCTTGCCATTTCTGGCATACAGAAGGCGGAGAGGGGGCTATTCTAGAGGTACGGCCAAATGAGAGTGGGATGCTTAAGATCCATTCCATGGGTCTGCCAAAAAGTAAATTTCAGTCCTCCTTGGCCAGATTGGAAATGGCACCACTATGCTCGAGAATGTTGAAGCAGGAAATGCTTCACCACACTCAACCACCATAGTTTCCTGACATCTATTAGTGTAATTTTATGTGTTCCGCCAGTTCCATAACTATGTATCGCTTTTCCTGTATCAACTTTCTTTTCTTTATACCTATTTTCACAGATCTGCCTGATTTCAACGCTCTTTTATTGCCTATTTCACCATTTTCTAGAATTCTCTCCCTTTTAAATGCAACATATTCATTCTCTTTATTCACATTTAAAACTCTTGTATTATAATTCCTTTTCATAATTCAGTCAGACACAGACTAATCATGTATAATGTAAAAAGGGTTTCATTAATCGTGTTTTTGTGAAAATGAACAAATATTTTGTATTACTTTTCACACAATTATTATGATAATTTTTTTCTTCCACAATTACATTTTTACTGAACTAGAATATAATTTTCTGTATTTTTGTATATATACTACTTTTTTTTTTTCATTTCTTTGTTTTGCTATATGATTATTCTTATTTCTTAAATAACAGTTGTAAATATTTGTTTGTTTAATGGGTAACTTTAACTTTAATTTCCTTCTCTCTCTCTTTATCTTTTTAATTATAGTAAATATATTATTTCACCATTCATCATTTTGTTTTTATATATGTTTGATTAGTATTTGTTTCTATTTTTTACAACTTTGTTAATTTTCATGGAGGCAAACTGTGCTTTTCTTTTTGAAACGTATAATAAATACAAATGAAACCTATAAAAATATTAAATAAAAAAAGATAATGGTTTTCTTATTCATAAAAAGGAACTTTTGATAATTTAAAAAAAAAATCAAATTTAAAATCGTAAATAACAACTGTATTATCGGAAACTCGTAATACTGAGGCTCCACTGCAATTTTTAAATTATTTCAAAGTTTATTTATTTATTACTTTTTTTTTTTTTTTTTTCATTCTGTTTTATAATTTGCATTGCCATGTACTTCATACATAATTGTTTTAAAGGAAGGAGATGGTCCGTGGTGGCGGTCATAAATATGCTAAATAGTGGCAAAACTATTTTATTGCCCCTATTTAGCCTATTTATGACAGCCACCCCGGACTATCTCCTCCTTCCTTTATAATGCAGCGGTCAACTATTAAATATTCAATAATTGTTTTACCCACCTATATTTATTTTTAGCTATTATAATTTTTGTTGATATCTATGTAGAAAAAGAGAAAGTATCCTTGAAAACAGCCTACAATGTTTGGTTAAAATATAGTCAAATTGAAATCAACTATACTTAAATTAAATGGAAGGGAACGTTTTATTATATACCTTAAATTCTCCCTAATTATTACGTTCTATTTAAGAAGAATTAATAGGTCACTCTTACATATTTTAGCAACATTTGCCATTACTTTTCTAATCTTTCTAAATTAATCATGATTGTGACAATGTTGCTTGCAAACTGTTCCCACGTTCATCCTCTACAAAAATTATGAAGGTCTTTTAAAAATATTTTTGTTAGTTTCATTTACTGTTACCTTGGCACTTATTTAGAAACAATAATTCAGCTTAAAAAATTGTGAATGTTTTAAAAAATCACTATCGATATCAACATGGTAAATTTTATAAGAATCAAGTTTTATGAACTACTTCTGTTTTAACTTAAATAGATGCTACATTTTTCAAAATATATTTTATTTTTCTAATTTTTAATGTTAAATATATTTTTTAAAAAGTTGATTTTTTAATCACATTGAGTGAATATGATGGATCTTTTTGAATATTTTTCTGGTGGTTAGAATGTTCTAATTGTAATAAATGTCTTCGTTTTTTTCAATTTAATAACACTTTCCTTTTTTAAATATTTTTAAAAAATATATATAAATACGAATTTCTTAATTTCCTTACAAAACTTTCCTCACTTTTTAGAAGCAGTTACTCCTCTCTCAAAGAGAATTCCCATAGGGTCTCCGAGAACAGCTTCACCTCGCTCTAATTCAGCTATAGATCTCCAAGCAGCTCAGCGAGCAAAAGCAAGAGCACAGTATGCAGCTTTAGCTAGGCAAAAAGTCGGATCGAACACTAGTCTTCGTAAGCTTGATTCCTCTGTTTTATTCATTACTGTATTATAAATATTTTTAAAAGAAATTAATATATTCAATAATAGATACGAAACCTTTTTTGTTTTTAATTTTAAAAACAAAAGATGATTCGATTGAAATTTATTCATAAACCTCTGCTGTTCCCAAGCTTTATATGTACCTTATTTTATTTTAGCATCAGTGCAATGCCTTAGTGGCATATTTGAAAATTTGTTAAATTGTATAAATTAGTGTTAATTTATTCTTTAAATTGTATGTTTAATTTGTAGTGTTAAAAAATCACAAAAACAAATATTGACAAGATTTGCAGATATGCCACTTTGGCATTGCACTAATGCTACGATATAGCTTTTGTCATGATTTTCGTGACCGGAACTATGCACCAAGGCAGGGAGTTCTGGATTACCTCGCTTCTTAACCCCCAAAAGCACTACTATTAGGGTCCCGATCTATTGCACGCTACTTGCTTTGAATTTTGATGCTCCGATTAGATTTGAATGGGTTTGTAATCACTGTTCAACAATAGGTAGCTTTCACAGTTGACTGGTGAATATTAAGCTAAAATTTTCTGAAGAGCTTTACAATACCAAGAGTTTGTTGAATGTTGCAGAGTGGTTTATAATAAAAGATTGTTTGTTGGCTTTACAGGACTTGCAGATCTTTGCCTTCTCCACTTCTTCAGCCACTGCTTTCCAGTTCGCAGCATGCAGCTCTGCAGCATCTTTGTTGATTCGATCTATCCATCTTATTTTCGGCCTTCCATGTGGTCCCTTGCTAACTATTGGGCATTGATTATTATTCATTATTAAATGCTTTTAGCTAAATGTTCCACACATCTTAAACATCCGTACCTTCATATCTTGAGATATTGACTGGCCGTTTTCTGTAAGTGCTTCTTAGGGTAAAACCTCAGTTGTCGGTACCGCACTATGTTTTCTGCACCCACTACAGCTCTTGAAGAATGTTACGTGTTGGGAATGGTCTAGAGCTGGCGTAAGACACTCATTTGAAGTGGAAATCTCTCCTATGCTTGCTTATTCAAGCACCTCCCACTATTTATTAAGTTTTATTGGTCGAAAAAAAAAATTAAATTAGAAACCCGATAGGTGTTGCCTAAGAAGGACATGTCTTAAGTTTTTGTTTGCAAGAAACATATTTCTGCACATCATTGTAGTACTTTCATTCTGAAGCCTGCCAGATTTAATTCTTTCGGTTTTTGAAAATTGGGTAAGAGGTGCCAAAAACTGGTACTTCAGGGTACCAAAAACTGGAAAATGGTGCTGAAAACTAGCCCATGTGGATATTTTCCATTTTACTTTTAACAAATAAATAAAAGACACTATTTCACTTACATATTTTGAAATCAGAGATGTTTATTGACTTAACAGAACCGACATTGTTGAACCAAGTATCCACACGATTGAAAATTGGACAAACACATTTTAATGTTTCCTGAAGGGTGCCGAAACTGAGGATTTTACCCTCATTGGTCTATCCCCTTTATGTGTTAACTAACTGATTTCAGATGACTGGTCATCATGCAGAGGACGTTATTTTCAAATTGTTCGATTCTGCTTTCTGGAATGGCAGCTAGAGCCTAGTTCTCACTGTTTTATTTTTATTTTATTTCACTAGAACTACCTTTACTACATTGTTGAACACCCTAAATTTCAAGTTTCTAAAGATTTTCTGGAATTACCCTTAGAAATCTTTGTTTAAATTTTTTATATGTAGGTCTATCTCTGTTAGTTAGTCACTTATTGATATTATTGTGGAGCCAAGGTGTTTGTCTAATGTTGAAAATGATTTACCATCCATGTTGATCCTGTTGTTAAGATGGATTTTTCGGCTTACTAAACTTTACTTTATTTTATCTTCATTTACTGGTAGAAGGTAGAATGTTTTCCTCTATTTTTCATATCAGAGACTTATCGAGTCTCAATATCCTCTTGATCACTTCCAAGGACAGTTAAATCATCTGGGTATATTTGAATTTTATGTTTCATTCTTATGTGTATTCATCCCCTTCTATGTCAGAACTAAAATAATCTATTCTCATTTTTTTTTTTTTTAAATTAACAAAAGGAATGTTAACTGTTAAAAGGAAGATGAGAGCAGCAATACTAATTACTTTAAATTTACTTATATAATTTTTTTCAGCTCGTCCAAAAAAAACAGGTACCGAATCTGGACCTAGTTCTTTAGCATTTTCTCCTGAACACACCAGGCAAGGAAGGAGTAGAACGACAGGAATCAGTCAGTCACAACGTAAGTTTCTCTCAAATCATCTTTAAAAATTCTAAATGTAAATTCTTTTATTGTTAGAAGTCTTCTGTTGGTAACATTAATGTACTGTCTTTATTTATTTTTTTTATTTATTTATTATAATAAAATTATATTTTAAAATTTACATTTCCGATTTTGATAGCTTCAAGCCGATCAGGATCACCCTCCTCACGACTGAATTATGCAACTTATTCATCTTGCTTGGGAGAACGATCCAGGAGATCCCCGTCGTATACGACACGCTCAACTCAAGGTTCTCGAGAAACTTCACCTTCTAGATATAACCCCCTTCCTCCTCTTGGAAAACTGAGAGGTGTTCGTCCTCCTCTTTCCAGGCCTGTAATGGCTCATAAGATTCTACAACAATCTTTGGAAGCCGAATCAGCTTTAGCAGATGCTTTAGTAAGTTTTGGGTTTTCTGTCTTAAAAATCTATGGTCTTGTAATTTTTTTTATTTATTTTTATTATTAACATTTATTATATTAGTGTGTAAATGAAGTTTTCTTTTCTTCTGGATCAGTTATTGAAAGGTATATTGAAAAAATTAAACCAAAACATAAAAGAAAAAAGTTCAATTAGTTCTATCTTGGCTAATAATGGTCCAGTTGCCATTTTTTTTTTTTTTTACTTTGTGAAGAATTTGTTTTCTTTCAAATCATTATTTACATAATACATAGCTTTATGCGGAAATAAATTTTTCTTCTTTTGTTGGTCATGGTTTATAAATGTATCATAGACATTGCAGAAATATCTTAAATCTGTGTATACTATTTCTCAAAGTTGTTCTTTTGTTGGTGTGTTTCATCTTCATTAATTCGTCATCTAATCTAATAATTAAAAATAATATTTTGAAAATTATCTTCTCCTTCAGGTAAAAAATACAATATCAGCATTAAAATGTATGGTCCACTGTGCCCATGATTATTTGAAATGTTTCTCAATTTCATATGAAACGGGGAAAAAATTGGCTATAAATATGTCCAACAAGATTTTTTATTATTATCTCTTTCTCTCTCTTATTATCAGTTTATATTCTTTAGGTGATCTCTATTAGATCACTTCAGTATCCTTGTAATTATTATATGCAATATTCCAGGAGATGAATAGTTCTTGATTATTTGAAAAACTAATAAAACCTGAATGGTTTATATCACAACCATTATTTCAAAGATATGACCCTTTGTGCAATTTGTGCATATCTTTTGGTTTATTATTTTGAATAAACTATTGTAATTGACCAAGGAGAAGAAGACTAATAATTCTATATAATGATACTTATTTATTATTTCCATTTTGTTTGGTTGCTGACCAATATACTATTCCAATTAGGAGGGGTGGTCAAGAGGGCTAACAGATGTGTAAAATTCATGTTTCTCGGCAACCAAATGATAAACCAAAGGTTATAAGTTTAAAATCCTGTGCCGGAGGTACTTTTACCTCTGTCGTAATTTCCTCTGTTGATCGTATAGCCTAAAAGACAAGGAAGGGGAGAGAAAAAAAAAAACACTATTGGAATTATTTACACTGGCCAATTACTCAAATATTAACAGCTTTCGTTAACTTAAATTAATTAAAATCAATCAACATCTATAAGATGTCAAAATAAATTCTTCAAAAGCAAGGATAAACTTGTAGGTGCAAAATAAAAAGTAAATATTGATTTTAAAATATAGACTAACTTAGAATATTTAATTTATCGTATTTTATATGCAGTGAATAGGTTCCCTTGCATCACATTTATTAAATTAGTATTTTCATTCCTTTTTAAGTTGAATAGTTTGAAAAAAATATTAACAGTTTGTAACTATCTGGATTAATTATCACATTAATTAGGTTATGATGACATGTATAATTCCTAATGTTCACGTTTTCAGGGATACACCGATGGACGAGGCGATACCAGTGGTAGCTGCGTGACGTCCCCTCGTAGGTTGAGATTAGATGATCATTCAGACGATTCTGAAACTTCTAGTGTTTGTTCCGAACGATCTTTCGAATCTCATCGGAGACCTTCTGATGTAAGTTAATTTTATTTATATGATCTGATAATTAATTTTTAAATTAATATTATAAGCCTACAAGTTAATCACAGAATTTATGATTTTCCTTATTCAACGCTGTTTTGTTTTATTGTCCTTTAAAAAATGTCTTGCTCTGCTTTAATTTTAGCCAACTATAGAAACTTTTTAGAAAAGCACATTTCACCATGCAACTGTTTTCACATGAGTTTTTATTATTTAGTTCCGAAATTTTTGACACCTATAAAATTTGATCATTCGTTTTATTTTTTAATCTCAAAAAAAAAAAGCTTGAAGGAAAAATTATTTGGCATCCAATTTATTTTATTTATTTTTTAGTGTCTGAAATTTAATGATATATGTTTATTTAAAATTTTTAATACACAATAGGATTTGTGTAACATAATTTATTTTTTATACCTATATTTAATTACTTCGAATCATGGGTTGTAATTGAAATGGTTACTTAACTGATTACAGTTAGACCATCGTGACTTCCTTTTTTTTCCAAGAAACAAATAAAAAAGATTTCAAATAATTTTTTTTTTAGTACTAACTGCATTTTCTGTGTTTATTTATTAACTACGTGTTTATTGCATGGTTATTTTTAATATATAAAAAAAAAATAAAAATAAACCAATGTTTGTTGTGAAGTTTTGTGTTTGAACGAGTGACTTTAGTGTTAACTAACATTTCAGTCATACTCGTGGAGTGGTTCGCAGCAAAGGCTCTACCGAGATATGTGGGAACCAGCTATTAAGGTAAGGATCTTCACAAACAAAAAAAAAAAATTAATTTGTTTCAGATAGATTAACCATAATTTACAATCAACTATATTGAAATCATCAATGGAAGAATTTCATTTTCGAACTGAATGATTAATATAATTTTTTAGACAGGCATAAGGCCATTTTGAGGCTATGCTTTAATGCCTCAGCACTGGTTTAAATCCAGTCTTTATTTTATAGTACACTCACAGAATAAAATTCGACCTTCTTACTCTGACTGGAATGGTTTCATAGCTTATAAGATAACCCTCATTAGGCTAATTAAGGATTAATGCCCTATAAGCAACAATTAATCATTCATTAAGGAAATTCATATGCCTTATATCGATAATTTTGAATGCATTCAATTAGAAATTTTCTATTACTTTAAAATAGTAAAGATATAATTTATTGTTTGCTGAAGACATTATTATTCCATCGTAATAAGAACTTTGACCTGGTACGTTGGCATGTTTAAAATGTGAAATTAATGTTGTGTTGTTTACTTATTTCACTAATTATTTTTTAGAAATAGTATTTGATTATTATGCCGACGTTTCCACCCACCTTGCAGGTCTTCATCAGGGCGTGGGATATGCCACTGCAGCAGGCAGTTGAAACAGGCCTGAAACACTGCCTTGAGTGTTTCAACTGCCTCCCGCAGCGCCACATCCCACACCCTGATGAAGACCTGCAAGGTGGGTCAAAACATCGTCATCATAATTAAATAATACTATTTCTATAATTTAGTATTTATTTAACCGCACACCCCGATCAACTCCTTCTCATATTATACCTCGGTCAACCATCTCTACATAATTATTTTTTAAATTTATATTTACAAAAAAAAATTACTTGTATATGATTCTTAATTTTCTGTCCTCATCACATTAATCCCTCGTTATCTTGAAGCCTGTTAACACAAACCCTAACAATAACACGGTCTAATTTCTTGATTCTGTATCACTATGGTTTAAAACAGGAGTCTCCAAAGTTTTTGATCCACGGGCCACATTGAGTCCTCAATTAAGTCGTGTAGGCCACTGCTGGTGATGAAAAAAAAAATTATGTTCTATAATTGACAATTCAATTATGAAATAAGCTTTCTAAGAGAAAAAACCTATGCAATAAAAGTTGTATTAACCGCTTGTGTGATAAATTTATCAAAAATATCAAAATTTTTTAATAGATTTTAATTAAAACTTTGCTGTTTAATCAAAGAAACTTTCACGGGCTGGATCGGAATTGCTTTGGTCCGGTAATTTGGAGACCTCTGGTTTAAAAGAAGAGACTTGATATCAAAAACAAAGTTAGCTGGAAAATATAATATTATTAAATCTACTTGTCAGCCATTATTAAAAATCAGGATTAATATTATTATTGTTTAGATCCACATGTTAGGTATGCCTTAAGAACCATATTAAATATAATTTCATTTTTTATTCAAATTTATTGTTCATTAAATTACAAATTGTATTGTGTGTGTATATATTTTTTTTATTCGGCTGTTTTTCAACAAAAAGGCATAATTTAATTATTAATTTTAATATCGGATAAGACAAACTTTTTTTATCCCTGTCTATTGAAATATGTAATCGGAATCGCTTGGTGATTATTGAGAAGTTCATATAATAGAGAAAGATGTTTGTATAGTACTTCCACTCCATATATTAATAAATTAATCATAAATCAAATATTAACCAAGTAGAAACTTAACATTATTGAGTTTGGTATCTTATGTTTTTTCTATTGATAAATTTATTTTGAATATTATTAATTTTCCCAATGTAATAATTATCTTTATTTTTCAGGACATAAATGAAATAATGGAAGCGTGCGAGTCTACACATTGGTCTGATAGAAAAGATGGTTTAGTATCGTTATCTGCTTACCTTCAAGCCGGAAATACTTTGTCACCCCATCAGCTTAATAGAATCACTGAAAATTTTACTAAAATGCTCTCTGATACACATACTAAGGTATATTATTTACTTTAAAATAAAAATTATAAATAATAATACTATTTTAGAGGTGTTTTATTTTTCTGTTTCTCATAAATCTAAATTATAGCATTTTCTATTAATATTTTTATAGACTGGAGATAAAGTAGTGTAAACCACTACACAAATTTTGAATTCTACGTATTTTGAAAAATATTAGAAAGCCATTCTAAATCTATATAAGGAAGGTTGTTGTCATTTTAATTACCTCCATACTTTAATCATATTTTTTATTAGTGATACATGCTGGTTAACATTTTGGACAACATTTCCCACCTTCAGAACCATTCTTCACTTGTCATTTTAAAATACAGAAGATAAATCATCTTTCAAGTCAATTGCGTTACTGTCATAATACATTAAAACACATGTCTTCATTTTCCCAGCATATTTTTCCCATTATAACTGTACGAGCCAGGAATAATAAAAATGTCGTAAAAGTATGGAGGTTAATTTAAATATCAAGGGTCTTATATAGATTTGAATTTTACATTTAAGCTGAATTAATTTTTGATTTTCTTTAATTGCATAATGTCTTTTGTAACAATACAAAGTTTATTTTAAGTACACTTATATTCCAAAGTAGTAAGCTACACCAATACCTCATTATTTCTTTAGCTTTTAACCTAGCTGTCATTTCACTCGTAGTGTTAGTTATTATTATGAAGGTGACACTGCTTTTCATCACTGAAAAAAAATAAATAAACTCTTTACTTCTAATGATGAATTATATAAATAAATTATTTTCTTAATCTTTCAACATTTGAAAGAAGAAAAAAAAAAGATTTATCTATATTATTAAGTTGATATTTTCAGAATCAAGTAACTATTATTATTTTCCCAATAAATAATTAATTTTTTTTATTTTATAAAAAAAATAAAGTAAATCATTATTATTTTAAGATATTGATATGTTACTAGAAATAGACAGTTTTGTTATATAATAGAATAGTTTTTTAGGTTTTTCAATTTATGAAACTATATACTTTTTTTCTTCTAGGTTTTCTCCCTCTTTCTCGATACTGTATCTGACCTCGTTTCAACACACTCTGCCGACCTCCACCCGTGGCTTTACATTTTGTTAACTAGGCTATTTAATAAACTCGGAGGAGATTTGTTATCCTCTATACAGACTAAAATTCAGAAAACCCTCGGAGTCGTCAAGTCAAGCTTTGGTCCTGAACCACTATTGCATTGGGCACTGAGGTGAGTTTCCTCGATTTCTGTTGAGTAATAAATATTTATAAATTTGTATTTAAATTGCAATAAAAACTATAAACTTATTGTAGTTTAATTGCATCTTATATTTTATATGCATTTGTATTATTTATAGATTTCTAGTAGATCCAACCCAGACTCCTAACACTCGAGTGAAGTTGGCCGTCTTAGGTTTTATTGCTAAGCTAGCACCTGCTGCCGATCCAGCTTCTGCCTTCCCGCCATCTTCGCCTTCTTCATCAGGACAATCCAAAGATGTCACTACAACTGCTCTGACAAAAATGATTGGTAAGCCAATTTCAGTTATTTACTGTGCTAATTTCAGATTTGTTAAAAAAACTAACACTAAGTTATCTAACTATCCCCACATATATTATTACAGTAAGGCTCAAAATCGTTTTTGTACCAAATATAAGCTCCTGTGATGCTCAAATACCGTGAAAGGGGTACCGTTGGATTCACAATTTCACAGGGAGTTAGCGAATCGTATTCTCCACTTTTGTTTTTCTTTCTAAAATAAAATAAATAAAGTCGATACAAACATTTTGCTAGGCTTCAATACTGGAACGGTGGTAGGTCTGTAGATCGATACGGGATAAATTGGATCTTGAAGATTTTGATGTGTACGGCAAGACCCGGATAGTTCCTCCGGAACTATCGGATCCTGCGTTTTTAAGCCCTAAAAACGTTCTATTTTCGAGATAATGCAAGGCATAGGGCTCGCATCCACACAAACTTACATTAATTGTAGTACTGTCATTGAATAAATGTCTCATTTCGTCGACTTGAGGTCTCTGTGATCGAGAGAGGAGGAGTTTATATTATTTATCGATATTGTTTATGATCGGCATGGTTATGCCTATGATTATGTAAAAGATAACTAAATTCCCTACTAAATGAAAAAAAAATCATTGAAATCAGACAATATTTAGCAAAGATACAGCTTACTGAAATTAGTATACATGTTGGTTCCAAACAGAAATGAAGATTTAAATTAATTTTTGTTTTCTTTCTCGATTATATTTATCGATAAAGGAACATTTGATTTCTTTATATTTTGATATGTTGCATTAATTTATTTTCTTATTAATTTGGTATTTGATAACAATATGCTATGCAAATTTTTCGCATGGGCCTACTAGTTTCAATTTATTACTCTAATAACCTCTAATTTGTTTCTGTAAAACTGAAGGATTTCTTCTCATCAATGTATAAGTCAATGGATGTTTTCTTGTTGTATGAATAATTGGAAAGTCAGTCTTTAGTAATGATTTTTCAGCTCCTATTATATTTTATTATTCTATTTAATATTTGGACAATTGTTTTCAAGTAAAAATAAATTTTAAAATTATGAGGACGGTAAGAGGATGGGTGTTTGGGCGGTTTTTTGTGTTTGTGTATCATTTTAACAATATACAGTTTGCAGGGAACAGGAAAATATGTGGATCTGAGTACAGCAATATATATATTGGTAAGGTACAGGATATCTTTCCGAGAATGCAGTTTTAAGATCTGGGATGTGATTAGGTCATGGCCAGGAGTTTTGCGCGATAGATAGTCGACATTTTCAGTCTAGGTTTGTTTTATTCACCTTGCCGATGTTTTGACTCAAGCATATGTCGGTCATCATTGAGGCTAAATATTTAAATTTATGTCAGAAATGTATGATGTAGACAGAAGTACATCATAGTACTACCCAGAGAAAAAATAAAATAAAATAAATAATTAGGGATAACTCTAAATAACGTGAGATTTAGTAGTTAAAAAGAATATGCAGAGCTGAGCTGAGCTCAGGTGAGCGGCTTAGCAAGGGCCAGGTCAGCTCAGCTTCCCCCACCACAGCTACTCACAACTGTGTCTCTTTATTCCTCAGTGTCATCTTTTTTTTCTGCTTATTTTCACTGCACAACCTCTCAAATTATTTTATTTTGGTTCAGTGTAAAATATGCAATGGATGTGGAAGAATTCTTAATCTAATGCGATAGGGAAAATATTCAATTTTATATACAAATATTCAATTTTTCTTTTCAACTCCGCCATGATCAACTTTGCTATATTTTTTTAAATGTTGTATATGCCATATCTATTTTTTTAAGAATTTTAGACGGAATATGAGAAGGATACCGATGCAAGGCAAGTTGATGAATGAGCTGAGTTGCACTACGCATTCGGTTGCCGACCCCGTCTTACTACGTTCAGGTTCAGCTGCGCTTTCGGTGGCCGGTCAGCCAAAAAGTGATGGGTTGATATTGTATAAAGTTATTATAGAAGCTTCCATTTCTCCTAGACTCATTGATTTATTTATTTTTTATAAACAAAGTTTGTAAAAAACAAAATTATTGCTTATGTAAATGTTATTATAATGTTTCAAATTTTTACTTTCACTTACCTATATATGAAATATATAGTAAAGGAAAGTATTGCGATCATGAAAATTTTCTAATCTCAGTTTTCAACAGAAATATAATACTCAGGAAACGTTTTGAGGTTTCCTGAGTCCAAATAACCAAGTCCCGCAAAATGGTCTGTGTGTAAACAGTCTAGCTCAAAAACAAAAAGTCATACAATAGTGAAATTGCATATTTAAGGTTGTTATATGCTAAGGATGTGACAGTAACTTTTTCGTCATAATCGGCTAACCAGAAGTGGCACTTAATATAATGGACTAATCACATTTTTATGATTTTCTCGAAAACGGGTCTAACGATTTTGATTAAATTCATCTTAACAGTGTAAAATTAAACAGTTTTAAATAAAATGTAGTTTTTATTCTGATTTATGTTCTCTAACAGGACTTAAATGGTTAATTTTCAATATTAGCTTCCCCTAAAGTACCTTTAATTCTTTTTTTATTTGAAAAAATTGACCTCACATTAATCTCTAATATAAAAGATAGTTAAATATAAAATAATTTGATAATTAACTAAAGGAGAAATAAGAGACCGTAATAGAGAATAGTTGTAACCGAGCGACCAAAGGAATACTAGCGCATCTGAAAGTTTAGAACACACTTTCATACGTAACGTGATTTTAATATAATACGGACTCTGACAATATTATATAAATATAGTTATTATTTAATATTTAATTGTATAGATCACAGCAATATAAATAATAAAATTTGTATATATAAGGGTACTTATACAAATAAAAATACCTCCAATGAAATATAAATAAATATAGCATCTATAATTTTTACTTTCATTTCTTCTTTGTCTGAAAATACCTTTTTCTGCTAAGAGGTTGGTAAGTGAAAGTTATGTTATGCCCTCACCACACCAGATTTTTTTTAATTTTTAATTATTTTGCTCTAGGTTGGACCATGGGAGAAGGAATAAAACAAGGAGGAGAACTGAGGCGTGGAGCTCAGGAAGCCATTTTAGCCCTTTTTAATTTGAACACTCCGCAAGTAACGTTGAGGCTGTCCCAACTACCCAAAGAGTACCAGGTATCGCAACAGTATTTAATAACATGTTAATTTTTTCAAAATGTATGCTTCTCCTATTGAAATACTGTCAAAGCAGTGTTTGTTGATGTTTCTTGGTTTTTAAATGTATTATGTATTACATTCAATATGTAAAATCAATTTGGTTGAGATTAAGCTGGATGAATTTAATGTTTTAAAGATTTCATGGAAGACTACATACAATTAAAAATCTATATCGTACTTGAAAAAAAAAAATGCATTTTTATCATAGAATATTTATTTATTTCATGCTAAAAATTATTAAAGTTTGGTCTATATAGATATGTGTAAACTTTTTTTTGTTATTTTAATGTTAATTTTTTTATTTAACAAGTTCACTTTGGTGCTGCAGTTCATGTTTTTCTCCTGTGGGGAGCTAAACTTAAATAAATCTTTTCTCTCTATCTGACAAGCCCGAACTAAAGCGTAAAACAAAAATTTTTTTAAGTTATATTTATAATATTGAATTATTATGTTTATGTTATACAATTAAAGTTACCTTAATGTTATTGAACTAAAGTAATGCTTATAATACGTCGTTAATCTCAATTGTCATTAAAAATGTTTTATTTTTTGTAATATTTTTTCTAGTTATTTAAAGATTTAAATTGTTTGTTACACACCCTCTGATAGCACAATAAAATGCTTGTCATCCGGTGGTACATGTCAGCCAATGAATCAGTCTTGTTCGAGCCATTGGTGCTATCGCCATCATGAACTTGTCAGATCATCATTTTTGTCTAAATACACATTTATTTAATTTATGCTCCAATATTATAGTTGTGTGGTAGAAACATTTAAGTATAATGTAATAACAAAAATTTATAATAAAGTAGATTGATTGACAAGTTAATTATTTTATCACCAAAGTATAAGAAGAATAAATTATTTAATTTATTAAGAATTAAAGTTACACATGTCTTTTTTATTTTATTTTTTCTTATGTTTTATGTTTTGAATGATTCCTTTTATTTTTATGGTTTAGGAAGCTGCTGGTAGCTTGATTCGAATGAGACGTGGCAGCGGAGGTGGAGGAGACTCTCTTAGCCCCGATCAGGTTTATCGATCCCTTCGTCGTACTACAGCTGAAATACAAAGTTACTCTTACGACACCAACGGGGGAAACAAAGTCGCAGATACTGCTTCTCATGACTCTGGCATAAGTCAGATGTCAGATAAACATGATGACATTCTTTGGGGCGTAAGTCAGCTGTCATAACTTTATCAGCATGCTTTTATCAAAACTTCCATCCATAAAAACTTATTGAATAACTTATATAATTAGCCCTTAGAATTAGAAGGATATATGAACCAGACCAACTATAAAACTAGAAAAAAAAAATCATGGAAACTTAACATTTGATATTGTTAGTATGTCTGTGTATTATAGTTAACAAAACAAATAATAATAATGTAGATGTTTATTTAGATAAAATAAAATATAATTTAAAGTTATGTAAAATTTATTAATCATAAATACATAATTTTTCAGTAATAGTCAGGTCACAAGATTAAGGGTATGGAGAAAAGGGTTTCAAGATTTTTATTATTTAGTAATTAAATCTATGTAATATGAGATGCTTCTATTATAATTTAAATTTGATTTTCAGATAAGTTCTCTTTCGTTATCTTCACCCACGAGGTCCGGTAAAGACTACAATGGCCTAGAAACTACTGATTCGCCTACCTCACTTGGTAACGGTTTTTCCAAAGGTGTCTTATCGATCTTAGCATTTTTTATTTATTTTATCTTTTTTTTTTTTTTTTTTGGTTCCTCTGTTTCAAATATGCCAAGTAATATAATTTTTATTTGTTAAAGAGGGTGGGAGTAGTGAAGCCGGTGATGCGTTAAGTAAACTACTAGATACTATCGAGAACAGCAGCGGAGCGGAAAGGAAAGCAGCCTTCGATCAACTGGCTACCCTTATCAGAGAGTCAGACCCTATCACTTTAAATACACATTTTAGGTATGCTTAGTACTTATCATCGATTCCTCTCTTGTTTTTATTTTTAAATTGATGATTAAATCATAAGGAGAAAGTTATTATTCAACACAGCTACCATATTGCTGAAATTTTAAAGAAGACTGCCTTTCAACAGAAATTAAATTCATTTTTAATTAGCACTTAAAGTATTGTTATAAAACTACAAAATAAAGGGATTAATTCATTCATATTTGGTCCTCAATTTAATGTACAATCGTGATATTATTTACTTTATTTTGTTAGTATGGATAATAACTTGAAAACTGAATTATATTTTAAAGAATAATGTATACACAGTAACCTCTGGACACCGGCCAGTCATTATGGTTCAATTTTTGTCCTTTAACAAGAGGTGTCACTAATGTAGAGGGTTTTTTTTTTTTACACATATTCTTCATTGCCAATAGGTATATTTAAAATTGACAATAGAGATGTCCCTTAAAGACAGAAGTCGAGGAATCTCACTGTATTAATTTGTACAAGAGAAAATGTGCTCATCTATTTAAACGTAGAGGACTTATTTATAACTTCTAACTTCACAAGTTTCACTTGTTCTCAAATTATTCTGAAATAAGGATTTGAGAACAAAAAGTGAGCGTTCATCGTAAAAAACCGGTTATGTATAACAAAACACTCTTTAAGTATGGAATAGTGAGGCGATTAGTTTGAAAATTATTTCATCTTAAAATTTTAATTTATTTTTCATTAGTTTTTGATGCACTATACCATCTAGCAAAGTGTATTGAACAAATGTGTCTCAATCCACTGTAGAAATGGGTTAAACCGATAAGTATACATTGGTCAGATAAGGAAAAATCATGTTTTTGGTGTTCACTAAAAAATTTTTGAAAATAAAATGGATTGATTTGATTTTAAAACTAAATGTAACCCCATGTTGTGGTCCTCATAAATACTTCTCATCTTAATGTTCCATACATTACAAATTTGGTCAGATCCAGATATCTATACCTCCAGAATGAACTCCAAACCCATTAATTTCTACCTTGTTTCCTCTTCGATTTTTGATAATTCTACTAAGTCTCTGAAAAGAAGATTTCCTTGAGACCTAATTTAAAACTTATTTGAGTTCTACCCATTTATAACTACATAAGGGTAGTTTTTCTATAAGTCTGTTCATGACATTATACTTGTTTTTTGTTCACATTTAGTTGTATTTTTGTTTTATTACAGTTATAAAATACAAAAATAAATGAAATAATTTCTTATATTTTATTGTTTTTTACAGGAAGATCCTCAAGGGTGTTCTGGGAAAATCCGGCTTATTAGGAGAAGCAGATTCGCGATTAGGTGGACTGACCGCGCTATCGGAGGTAATGAAGAGGAAGTGCCTCTGGTCCTCCCTCCAAACCTATGTCGAGCTCATCCTTCTACGAGTGATCGACGCATACTCGGACGGAAATAAAGAGGTATCAAAACTCGCAGAGCAGGCTGCACTGCTCATCATTTCAGCATTAGATCCTGCAGATGTAATTAGGGTATGTACTGTCTTATTTCATTTGATTTTAATGTGATTATTTTTTATTATATTATAGTATTTTTCATCCTATAAATTTATTCTTTGATTAAAATCTTTTAAAGGGGAATCAATAAATCCTATTTCACATTTATTATGATTATACTATATTAACGTTAACAGCTTTTTTCTTAATATTTTACATAACTTAATTTAACACAATGAGGTGAAATGTATTTAACCATAATTGTCACTCAGGAAATTATATTATTGATACTTTTTTTTTTTTTATTTTACTTTGATTGCTATTGGTTCATATTTTATTAATTATTGGTGTTTATATCAGTGTATTATTTTGTAACTAGAACAATTTGTTTAGTACTGTACCTTTATTTTTTTTTTTCTTTATAGTTCTTCTTAAGGTTTTACTTTATCTTGCTAATAAAAAGCTGAAAATTATCCCATGAATTGTATTTATTCAAATTTTTATTTCACAGGTACTTGTTCCACTGATGAGGGCGGAAGAATTTCCAAAAAATCTGATGGCCATTAAAACTCTGACAAAACTAGTCGAACTGGAAACAAAAGAAGTCATTATGCCATTTCTTCCAGACATAATGCCAGGACTTGTTCAGGTATATATTAATAATTAACCCATTCATTTCCAGTGCCTTATATTTCGAAAAATTAGTAAACAATCCGGTTTCTTGGAAAAAGTCACTTAGTAAGTTTTTGATTAGAGCTAAACTTTTACTTCTTTATAAATAAAACAAATGAAGAGAAGAATAGTTGGGGTGGTCAGTCAAAAATAAATGATAATATTTATTTTTACATATGCCGACATTTCGACCTGAAGTCGCTAAGTTATCATCAGGGCTAAGAAAAGACCCATATAACTTCATATTTTTCTGTTTTACATGTTATTCTAAGATTCCCTTTACAATACTTATATTACCTTTTTTGACTATGTTTACTTCATCATTCCACACTTTGTACCTGTTATTATTAATTGTCTCTTGTTCTTACTATTGTCATTATTTTAACAACTTCGTTTTACTGTAATTTTTATATTTCTCTTACCTTGTTATCTGGTTCTTTTCTTAGCCCTGATGATGATCTGAACTTCAGGTCGAAACGTCGGCATATGTAAAAATAAATATTATCATTTATTTTTGCCTTCTTTTTTGACTGACCACCCCAACTATTCTTCTCTTCATTATCCACGACAGTCAACCATTTACCAATTAAAAATTTAAAAAATGTTATTACAACTACACAGTGTTCTCATTTCATAGTGATAAAATTCATCCAAATACTCAGTGGTTTGATTTTATGAAATATTATTTCTTCATGACTGCTTTACAATAATCTCATGATATTTTAACTATTGTTTCAACAATGTTTTGTTGGTAATAACAATAATTTAATAATTCTATTATAAATATTTATTTTTATTCTACCGTCTTTCGCCATTATGGATCTTACTACAAAGAATAAAAAAATTCCTTTTTTTTATATTTCTTCCATATATTGAGTTTTAAGGGTCATTCTAAATATCTTCTTTTCTCCATATTTTTCTCTTCTATTTATTTTAATTACTTACCTGAATGCATCCTTCCTTTTAACTATGAGCTATATATTGACGACTGTCATATTTTTATTTTACATTCCTCCCACTGTCTGAAATTTAGCTGAAGAGCAATGTTGAGAGTTTTGAAATTAAAATTGAGACGTCTTTAGAACTGTATTTTTTTATTTATGTTTTTTATCATTATTGTTATATTTGATTATTTTGAATTGTATCATATTGAACAGATGTAAATACTTTTATTTAGTCCTTGTAATTTTTTAATGAATATGAATTTTATAAAGTCAAATCATCAATTTGTAAGCCTACTCATGTCTTTTAAGTTCATTAATTTTTAGAAATAAAATTTAATATTATTACTGATTTATTTATTGTTCTTGATATATATATATCTTTTTTAGGCCTATGCTAACGAAGAAAGCTTAGTTAGAAAATCAACTGTATTTTGTATGGTCGCACTTCATAACAAACTTGGAGGAGAGACACTTAAGCCATATCTCGCATCTCTTAACGCAAGCAAACTGAAGCTTTTACATTTGTATATAAATAGGACTCAAACAGATCAGTCGCCCAGTTCTCCCAAGCCTGCTGCAGCCGTATAATGTGCCATCCCAATTATTTCGCTGATATATATTTTTATATTCATCGTAATTGCTTTGTAAAAAACAAAAATGAAAAAAAAAAATTAGGGAAGATACATTTAGTAATACATATAACATAATAACACTTTTCAGTATGTGTAGTCAGTTCTCAGTTGTACAGCTTATTATGCACATATTTAATTTGTAAGTATAATTACTTTTTATTAATAAAAGTCTATCGTAACTAATGTCGACATGTATTTAATTAATTATGTTTAAGTGGATTTAATATGAACAAAGTTGGATACATTATTTATTGACTTTTTTTCTTGTTATATATGAATTATAACGTTGAAAGACTAATCTATGACTTACTTTTAACATATATAAGTTCTAAATGTGGCCAATAATTTTAAATTTGTGAGCACATACTCGTACATAAGTATGCAATACGTAGAAATAAAACCTGGATAAATTTACTTTTGGCCAGAATGCTTCTCTATTATTTCTTTCTTTCTTTTTTTTTTTAATGGATTAACAAATTATTCATTATAAAATTTAACTATTTAATTACTATTTGTTTAGATAATAAAAATTGTTACCTTATGCTTTTCAATGTAATTGCTACAATTGCAAATAAACCAAAAATAGGTAAAGCTATGTGATAACACACTATTAATCAAAATGTAAAAGAAAAAAAAAATGAAATAATTTATGTTATTAAGTAGCTATGTAATAAATAAAACAAATTTTTTACTCTTAAAACGAACTTTGTTACATCATAAAATTTATTCTATAATTTTATGAAAAATCGATTAAATAAAAATTCTATTTACAATCCTGTTATATTATTTAATCAAAACTTAAAATTGTATATTTACAGTTAAAGAAAGTATAAAAACAATTATAGATAAAGGCTTGCTGCGAAAACAATGTCTCTTTTTATCATATTTATGGCCATACTGAATTTCACTTCCAGGTCCTGGTTACCTAATGTTTTCGCAGCTTGCATTAGTTGCCTTAACAATTCTTCCAAACGCCGCATGCAACGAATAATACTCCCTTCGAATATTTCTGTCTGTTTACAGATTTCGTGAAATGTGGCGCCGTTACACCAAGAATAAACTGGATCCATCAAAAACGGTTTCATCTGATCTAAATAAGTATCCTCATTAATGTCCATTTTCGCCTCTTTCGATACCTTGATAATCTTCCTTGCCAACTCTTTAGCTTCCCTGAAAGGCTTGGCTAATTCCTCAGATAATTTAGCATGAGTATTACTTTTTTCTTCGCACACGAAACATGAGAGAAGCGCTGCTGATTGTTGTGGTGTCAAATCGTTGAATGTACCACTTAGTAACATTTCTGTCAACAACAATTCGTCTGCACAACTAATTTCGCAGGCTACTCTTCCCTTCAGTTCTATTACATCTGATTCAGTACAGAATTCTAGTCTCCTCAAGACACGTTTTCTACATCGCAGCTCTTCCATTTGTAAAAGTGACATGGACTTGTCGATTTCATTAGCTACATTTTCGAGTGATTCCCTTAGTTCTTCCTTTTTTTCAAAAGTCTCAAGTACCTTTTCAAAATCTGGAGTTTTATTAGCGACATGGACTTCTAACCTTTTCTTCAAAGCTGCAATTTTGTCGACAAGAAATGTAAATCTAGTATCTTCAATGTTCATATTCTTCAATGGATCTAAAATCGGAAAATCTCCTTTGAACCTTTCCTCCACTTCTCTGTATGCCATTTGAGCTGAGGCTTGGTTGTCAGCTGACCTCAAGTCTTTTGGCAGAACGACACAGACAGTACTCACATCCATTATACTTTGATGTGGTAGTGAAATGACAACCATTTTACCGGCATCATTTTTGGAGCACGGTTTAGGATTTTCTTCTGTGGATTTGGAATCAATCAAGATAAGTACATCTATGAGAATATTTTTATCAACCTTCATGGGATTGTTATTTTTCTGGTTGGCCCTTCGGTGGGACAAAACCATGCCCCACCCAAATTCTGCTCTATCCCTTCCGCAAGCTTTTACTAACCTTCCAGGTCTTAAAAATGGTAAAAGATACTGTGGTTTGTGAATAAATGTTTGGTACTCTGCATACAGACCGTTCAACTCTTTTTTCAGAATAAAATATGATTCTACAACCTTTTCATTTTCAATAACAATATTTGATATTTGTTCGTCGATTTCATCATGCTGTTTTCTCAGAATAGGTAAATTGGTATGATTTTGAAACTGGAAAAAACTTCGTTCAAGTAAATATTCAGGATTGATATCATCAACCCTAATCAGATTGAGAAGCATGTTATAAGACAAGTGAAATGCCGAATTGAGAGGATCAGCTTTACCCTGCATCAATGACTTCCCTTCTTCAGTAGACAGAGGTTCGTCAAGCATTACAATGACAGTTCCATTGTCATCCAATCCTCTCCTGCCAGCACGCCCAGACATCTGAATATATTCTCCTGAAGTAATATGTCTATGATTTCTTCCATCAAACTTCTTTATACTAGTGAAAATGACAGATTTGGCAGGCATGTTAAGGCCCATCGCAAAAGTTTCAGTAGCAAATAAAGCCTTGATAAGTCCTTCTGAAAACAAAACTTCAATAGTCTCCTTGAGGATGGGTAGCAAACCTCCATGATGTATACCTATGCCTCTCCTCAGCAAAGGAAGGACATTTTCTACTTGGGGAAGACATCTATCCTCTTCTGACAAAACATCCATAGCATTTTGAAATATTTCATCAACAAGCTGTTTTTCCTCAGTGGTGTTAAAGTCCAATTTAGCTACTTGCATAGCATATATTTCACAATCTTTTTTACTAAAAGAAAATATCAGAGCAGGAGCAAGATTTTTTTCCATAATCATTCTAATAAGCTTTAAACAGCTCGATTCTTTACCATCTGATCTTCGATTGAGCTTCTTATTTTCAAATTTTTTTCCTTGACCAGGATCTTGTACAATTTTTGAAGCTAATTCAAAGTTCCTTTCATTAAACACACTTTTTTCATCGACAATAAGATGTGTACAATCGCCACCTACTGGAAAAACAAAATGTTGCAATGGGGTCGGTCTATAATCTGTATAAACGACGTGACATGGCTGACTGTGAATATGTGCGACCCACTCGGCGAACTGACGTGCGTTAGGTATCGTAGCAGATAAGAAAACATAATGTACATTATCAGGAAGAAGGATCAAGGTTTCTTCCCATACCACACCACGTTCCTTATCTCTCATGTAATGAATTTCATCGAATATTACCCATGAGACTTCTCTCATTACTTCAGACCCTCGATAAAGCATATTTCTTAAAATTTCTGTTGTCATTATAAGACAACCCGCAGTCGGATTAATTGTGACATCTCCAGTGATCAGGCCGACATCTTTAAATTCTTCTTGAAACTCACGATATTTCTGATTGCTCAAAGCTTTTATCGGTGTTGTATATATCACTCTCTGTTTCAAATTTAAGGACTTTATAATACTGTATTCACCGACAACTGTTTTTCCTGAAGAAGTATGAGCCGACACTAGTACTGATTCATTATTTTCAATACACATAATAGCTTCTTTTTGAAATGGATCAAGAATAAATTTATACTCCTTCAACAATTTTTTTGGCTTTATTAAAGGTTTGTACTCGACATGTGGAGGAAGGGCAACTTCGTGAAGACAATATTCTAAAGCTTCGACTGTATGAATTTTTATCTGAATACTGCCGAGATTGGATATGCTCATTAATCTTGCCTTTTTCAATTGTAAAGACTGGTCAATATCAGCTTGGGACTGATTTATGCTGTCTTTTTCTAGGCTCTGTTTCTTTTGGTTAGGTTCAGAAGTATCTTCCTCTGAGAAATGTCTTTTTTTGGAATCTTTATTGCCAGGAGGATCAGGAGGTGGTGTGGAATGGGCAGGTTCTTGAAAAGCACCAAATAGAAGATTTAACGAATTCATGTTGAATCAATCTGAAAAAAAAAAAAAAGTATTTCATAACAGAAGAGAAAACAATTTAGAAATCTTATGAAAACAGGTAGTATACGTTTGCCAGCTGTCAATCAGGCTAAGCCAAAAGATACAACAAATGTGCTAGCATATCTGTTATTGCAAATGCCCAGGCTTTTACATATAACAAGATATTCTAAATGTTTTATTTTAACAAAAAAAAATCAAGTTGTATCCATTTCATTCTTGATGTGTTGTACATAAACTAGGTAGATAGTAATAATAGAGGCACTATAATGTAAAACAAGGAAACTAAGAAACTGAAAACGTTTTAAACTTCAAGCAGTTATAAATTACAATCACTAAACCAAGCAACATTATCTTTGAAAAGCAAAATTCCTACAACATACTAAGAAATTAGTTGTAAGAAATCTTGTTGTACCGAAAAATTTAACATCTTTTATAACAAAGAGTTCAATATATGTAAACAAATGCCTCAAATATGAAACGCCGTGGATAGCCTCAACACAAAAAAATATTTAACTTAGAGATAACTAATATAAAATTTGTATTAGTTGTCATGGTATCAAATTTTAACTAAAAAGTGTCTAGAAAAATTATGAAAATAGTGTTAAGATTAATAGAAAAATTACCTATAATGTGCTTAGTAGATTATGCACAGTATTTCACACATAAATAGGTATTAAAATAATGGGAACCAATCTAATAACAAGAGGCTACTTTCTAGAGTTTTCCTCAGAAAATTCCAGAAAAATATGTTTAAACAAGAAAATACCAGATGTCATGATCAACTGTCAGATTTTCTCCTTTAATTAATTATTTTAATTAAGAGTAGCCGCTTTATAGAGGCTGGGTGTGCCACAAGAGGGTCTCCAAACCCAATGGTTGATCCACGGCTGATAAAAAATTACCTGTCATCAGCCGTGTTCAAATACGAGACCTTGAGTCTCGTCTTACTCACTGAGCTACCCCACTTAAAAAAATAATAATAAAACAAGGACAGCAAAATTTATTTTTCTTTAAATTCAAATAAAACTGACCAAAAATCTTTTGAATAAAAAAATTTATATGTATTTTATTTCTCCTTTATCCCTCTAAACTTATAAGTACTCGAAAAGAATTTCATGTATCACCATATGTGACTAAAAGTGATATTCTAATTTCATACAATATGATATTTTTACATTCAAATTAGTTTATTAAATAAAGATAAAAATCCTATCACAACCTCAGCCATAGATGATAATTTCCTCCTCTGTGGCTGAAATATAGAATTGTCCTAAAGCCAATCGTTTTCAATATTTTTTAAATAATTATAACTTAATAGAACATACATTTTTTAAGTTTAACTTCAGATGTTAAACTAGCTGAAATGAAATCATCATTTAGAAAAGTAACTGTATTACGTTACTAACGTTCCTCTCAGCCCAGGAATCGTAGGTATTATATTAAGTTATTAAGTGATTTTATATGGTTCACCAATTCAGCATATATCATACAATGCTTAACTAATCAGGAAAAACCTTCAGCTTTTGAAAGCAATTAACTAATTAGCACTTATCTGACAATTTTTTACTTATATTTCATTACTTATATTTTTACTTATATCTTATATTATATTTCAAAGTTTTTACTTATATTTCATTCTCTTCCCAATTTATTGGTTTTAAGCCAGCTTACACCAATTTTATCACTACAAAATCTTATTACGACACGCTTTGGCTCGTCGAGCCATTTTCAAGTCTATCATGTACCTGTCCATTATACTTTTTATGTGAATTACATGTGTCTTCTTATAATAACTGGTATCACAATCGTCATGTCTATCTTTAACTTATTATGTGTTAATCCACATGTTGTCGGTTCCATTTCTATCAATCACTCAAAAGAAATGAAAACAACAACTTGTAGGTTAACATAATAAATTAAAGATAGAAATGACAATCGTGATACTAGTTATTAAGAGTGGACACATGTAATTCATATAAGAAATATAATGAACAGGTACATGTTAGACTTGAAAATGGCTCGACGAGCCGAAACGTCGTAATAAGATTTTGTAGTGAAAAAATTTATGTAAGTTGGCTTAAAATCAATAAATTGGAAACTAAATATTATGCACCGAAGTAGAAAAGAGAAATATTGAGAATATTTTATTCATTGTGGTCAAACAATAAATAAAATTATGCATATGATTGGTGTATAGTTTTATAAATATTTAAACAGAAAAACCAAGAGAAAAGGAATTATAGTGCAATAATCGACTAACAGAAAAAACTAACAAAAAGGTACGTTTTTTATATTTTTAGAAGGTCCACCACAATAAATGATAAACGATTGAATAAATTAAAGCACAGGTTTTAAAGATAATATCTAAATACACAGGTAACAAGTTGATTGATCTTTAACGTTAGTGTTTTTTATATGTTACATTTATTTATATGTACATTTATATGTTAAATGTTTAACATGTAACTTACATAAAATTAACTCTTGAATACGCACAAAACTAATGCTAACCCTCCCGACACTAGGTGGAGAAAATAAGATTCAATTTCGGAGAGGACGAACTCCACATGTAATTTGTAGTTGATTTTCACAAGTTTTCCTTAATTTAATTGCTGTGAAAATTGGTAATATATAAATTTAAAAAATCATAAATCCTATGCTGAATATTTTTTAAAGTAATTTCATAAATGTATCTATATTTTTACAAGAATGGCATCGGGTTATGGTTGCCCAGGACTTAAAGAGGGTCAACACGGCTTTATATCCTGCAGCCCACTTTTGTGATTTAAAAAATAGAAGATACTAAATCTTTCTTACAATTTTAAGATGCAACTTGAGATTTCGACACTGAAAGAATTAACCGCTATAACTTTGTATCACACACATCTGAATTGAATTAAGTCCTGATTGCATTTTGAATCACCTTAAAATTTATATCACTTAAATGCTTTATGTTGAATGAATGATATGAAAAAATACATAAAATTTGGTTAACAAATCGATGGACTAATCTGAGATGGATGGCCATTGAACCTATGTAGCTTTTCAAAATCCAAATAGTGATTCATACAAATGTCATTTCACAATTTAAAATCAACAAAATTTATATAACTGATAATATTAAGAATAAATTTCCTTCATTTGGTTGTTGATAGGTTATTCAAATTGATAAACAAACAATTTAAAAAAAGGCATGATTGTTAACAGGCTAATCTAATATATTTTGTGAAATGGCAAATTATGAAATTATCATTCGATACTTAAAGGTACCATTCCGTTTTAAATATATACATGTTCTTTAGAGATTGCTTCACCATATTAACACTATCAGCAATAGTGGGAATTATAAAGTTAACTTACCTAAGAACGATTTGTAATTCCTCTACAACCTTTAGTTCACTGATTCTAAAATCAACATTTACAATCTAAGAAAAATTAATCAACACTCCACATTAAATCGAAAATGCATGGTTATAACCTGTTTACGAAAACACTTTCAAGCTAGAGGTTTCCAACAGACCACGAGGTTAACCCAGTGTTACCGCGCGCTCTGTGACAAAACCTCGTACTCAAGCCCAGTGTTGCCGTTGATACGATGATCGTATTTGTACGAGGTTATGACGTAATGTACGAGGTACGAGGATAGATCAGCCTCGTACCTCGTACATAAGTTTTGCTGACGTTTGCAATGCAAGGTTATATTTTTATGAATGAAGTTTAGAATTTTTCACGGTTATTTTGAATGTATTATTATTTATATTGATATGAAATACTGAACTTCTGTTGCTTTCTAGACAAATAAATTGCAATTATACCTTCTTTAATTAGAGTATGATTATTATTTCCTTCATAAAACCATGATTGTATATATATGTTTTTTTTTTTCTAGAAAAAAAAATAAAAAAGAAAATTTTAGATTTTATTTAGTATAAAATAAAATATAAGAAACCATATCCATTATTTCCTTCATAAAACTTTTTTTTATAAATATGTATTTTTTAAAATGTGTTGTAAAATAAAGAGCGTACGAGGATGTACGAGGCTTGAGTACGAGGTTTTGTCACAGAGCGCGCGGTAACACTGCTCAAGCCTCGTACATCCTCGTACGCTCGTTCATTCATAACTTGTATTATTATAAGCCCAGTGTTATTGTTTTTTTTTATAGTAAAATTAGATCAGAATTTTTTATTTTTACCTCCATTCATATATTTTAAAGCCTTTTTACATTACTTTTTTTAAGTTAATGGGTCAAGAAGTAAAATTCGCTAAATAAAATATATAAAAAAGTTTATATATTTTTATAAACTACTGAAAACGTTATATAAACATTAAAATAGCTAAATAAACTTCTTAAAGTACTCTTCATAAGTATTCATTAGTAATAGAAAATTAAACAGAAATGTTTACCGTCATTTTTATAGAGCATAAAATAAAATACGAGAAAGTATATCCATTATTTCCTTCATAAAACTGCAATTGTAAATATATTCTAGATAAATTAATTTTTTTATTAAATTATACCGTAATTTAAAAAAATTATTTTAGATTTTTAATCGAGTAAAGTAATTGATTGAAAAATTAATTAGTATTCATAATGAACCCATCTTAAATAATGACAAAAAAAAAATTCAGTAGTCCTCATTTATTTTGTGCGAGATATAATTGTAAGCTAAATACTGAAACAATCACAATCTATTATTTTTTTATATTATAATGGATATCTCTAAAAGCACTAATGCCCCAAAAATTAATTTTTATTGGCCTTCCAGAACCACTAACATCCTTTCGTAAAAGTAGTTGTTTTATTTTTAGAAAAAAAGAAAAAAAATTAGTCCTTCCCTCAAATTAAATCTTGGATCTACTAATGAATACTTATGAAGAGTACTTTAAGAAGTTTATTTAGCTATTTTAATGTTTATATAACGTTTTCAGTAGTTTATAAAAATATATAAACTTTTTTATATATTTTATTAAGCGAATTTTACTTCTTGACCCATTAACTTAAAAAAAGTAATGTAAAAAGGCTTTAAAATATATGAATGGAGATAAAAATAAAAAATTCTGATCTAATTTTACTATAAAAAAAAAACAATAACACTGGGCTTATAATAATACAAGTTATGAATGAACGAGCGTACGAGGATGTACGAGGCTTGAGCAGTGTTACCGCGCGCTCTGTGACAAAACCTCGTACTCAAGCCTCGTACATCCTCGTACGCTCTTTATTTTACAACACATTTTAAAAAATACATATTTATAAAAAAAAGTTTTATGAAGGAAATAATGGATATGGTTTCTTATATTTTATTTTATACTAAATAAAATCTAAAATTTTCTTTTTTATTTTTTTTTCTAGAAAATTAAAAAAAAACATATATATACAATCATGGTTTTATGAATGAAATAATAATCATACTCTAAGTAAAGAAGATATAATTGCAATTTATTTGTCTAGAAAGCAACAGCAGTTCAGTATTTCAAATCAATATAAATAATAATACAGTCAAAATAACCTTAAAACAATTCTAAACTTCATTCATAAAAATATAACCTTGCATTGCAAACGTCAGCAAAACTTATGTACGAGGTACGAGGCTGATCTATCCTCGTACCTCGTACATTACGTCATAACCTCGTACAAATACGAGGATCATCGTACAAACGGCAACACTGGGTTAACCGCCGTATATCTTGCTTGAATCGAAATAAGAACTAAAAGAAAAAATACATTAATTTTTTGTCAGAGATATATATTTCACAGACAGAAATGAAAAATTCAAATATATATGCTTAAATTTATTTATTGTTAAAAATAAATAATAGGAAGCCAAATAGTAAACTGAAGCCCCCCCCCCAAAAAAAAAATGGTAAAATATAACCATGTTCTATTGAAAAAAATATTAAAAACTATCTCTTAAACTATTATTGTTCCTGTAATTACATTTAATAGCACTTCAAGAATCGCTAAGACACAATGTCATATGGGCAGTTAGTTTCTTTCTTTCTATTTTTTTCAAATTAATTATTGTTATATATATGAAAAAAAATCCTTCGGGCTGAAGCCCCTCCCAAAAAATTAAATCCTGGATCCGCTAGTGAAGGAAATCAATGTTCTGGGAAATAAAAATTTGAAAAAGGGAGTCGCGTGGACAGAAGAAAAAAAACCCAAAGATAATGAGAGAAAAAATGGAAGATAAGGAAAAACAAAAACAAGAAAAGAATCCAAAGTAATGATATTCGCGTGGTCTCTAAAGCCGTTCCGTGAAAAACAAAATATATATACTGATCTTAACCATATTTTGTTTATTAACTAATAATTCAGGATATTAGGTGCTTGCAAAAACACATTCAATGAGTAGAAAAGTTTTTTAATTCTATTATATCAAGACAGTACAAAATTATATTAAAAAAAAAAGTTTTTCGCAATCTTATCATAAATATATGAAGTTGTAGGATGAATTTTTGGTTTTATCTATGGATTGTTGGGTTATTTATAAAATTTATACAGTCAATAGACCTTAAATGGCTTCCTATGTGACTGGAAATTAATTCTTTCTGAAACAGAGAGTTGGAAACAAAAAAGTGATTCTCGTTTTGTAGCAATGGTCTTCCTTCCACCCAGATTTATAGTTTTCCTGATTTACGATACAAATAAAATCTTTAATGTTAATACTTCAGTAAAATATATAAAACTTGACTAATGAACAACATAAATATTTTATATCTCTGTTACATTTATCTGTGCAATTTTATCACTACGCAACTCTCTCCGGAACTCCGCAAGTGACGCGCCAAGAATCAATATTATGTATCAAAATCTATCCATTTTCCGTCAGGTTGTGTGAGGACCAATAATCAGATTAGACCCACTTCAGTTCTAGCTTCGTTTAGACGGTAGTATTTGTAGAATTGCATGAAGTATAGGTGCTTGTTAAATAACTTTGCTGAACTAGGGAATAAACGAATAAAAGCTTAATAGACGGTACGCTGACTGATAAGCGCCCAAGTGATAGATCGAAGAGAAGGTGGGTGAATTGTATTAAGGCTGATCTTGTGTGGTTGAATTCGGATGGCGGTTGGTGGATAAAAGTAGGTAAGACAGCAATTGGTAGTATCTTGGAATCTTTAAGACTTTTTGGTTGTCATCTTCGACTCAAAAATGTTAATACTGACCACTAGCTGATCCAGGATTTAATTTTGGGGGCGGCTTCAGCCTGAAAGCTTTTTTTTTTCATAAAAATGACGATATTTACTATGGAAAAAAAGAAAGAAACTAGCTATCTATATGAAATGATGTTTAAGTAATTCCTTAAGTCCTTTTAAATGTAATTACACGAACAATAATACTTTAAGAGATAATTTTTAAATATTTTTTTCCATAAAACATGGTTATATTTTACCATTTTTTTGGGGGGAGGCTTCAGCCCGAAAGCCCCCCTCCCTCCCGTAGATCCGCCCGTGATACTGACAACACTTCAACACGCTCAGGTACTACAAACTCACCAGCACACGGAACTAACTGATTTGCTCATCATATCTGCTTCAGAAAATTCCTAAACTCAACGCTAATTACATGTTTGAAATCCATCCAGCCATTGAATACAGCACCGATATACAGCGATTTATACTGAGTTTAGGAATGACCTGCTGGATTCCAGCAGATGATTGGAAAAGCATATAGAAAGTGAGTTCAAAGTTTAATACCAGAATTCTATTGACAATACAATAGATACAATATGCCTAGCAAAAACTGATCAAAATAAGGTAATGCTACGAGCTTAATTTTACAAATAAAGCTGGCTTTTTACCAAAAATATGTTAGCAATGGCCGAGCGTTAGACTCCTAAGTTACATGGAAGAGGCGAAAAAGAATTTTTCTCGCCAACTTTCTTATGATGAAGTAAATACATTTCCTTTTTCCAGGCGGCCTTAGTGTGAGGCAACGGGGGCTATTGCCTAGGGGCGTCGACCTGGAGGGACTCCAGCCGATATTCAGGGGCTTTTGCCACTTGTTAGAAATTTAAAAAAAAACAACAAAACTTATTAAAAGAATTGATTTTAGCCTATCAATAAAGCAACTGTATTAGAGAAATGTCAAATGAAATACAATTCAAATACTACATAATATAAAACAGCTTAAGAAATCAATTTAATTTTTAGAGGGGGAGATGACCTTATTGCCGGGGAAGGGGGGGGGGGGGCAACATTGCTATCTTACCAGTCTCTTTTTAGAAAAAGACTCATTTATACAATAAGATATTTTCAAGGGTAAAGTTGGTATTGATGATGTTATTTCTGAAACATGGGAGAGGCTGTTGATTCCTTACATGCAGTGTTCCTTAGTGGTGAATTGTGATATGACTTAAATAGCATTCAAAGTATTTAGGCTAAGTTGATTGAGAAAAACAGAAATTTATCTCTTCATTGAGAATGAATTTCCTGTTTGTGAAATAATCTAATATCGAAGGCCACATTTTGGGCTACCATTGATCTCTGGCTCGAGACACAATATTGTAATATTTTTTTAAAGTCACATCCAATTATTCCATCGCTTGTTTAGGACCCTATGTGGTGCACTATCACAATTGTAATTACACAATGCCGCTATGGTGCCCATGTCAGTATTAGAGAATGGTAAGCAGATGTGCTTTCTTATCGTTTTCAGTACTGCTCCACAACTAGGCTGTTGAGTACATAAAATAAATATCAAAAGATAAACGCCTAGGAAATACTACTGCCACGATATGTAATTTACAATTCCAAAATCTTTTGGGTCTTACAAATACAAGTATTTCCTCACTTTTCTGACTGCCTCTGTTTCTTTCATTATTGCACCATTTTTTAAAAAATAATTTTGTACTAACGGATTGTAGCCCTCTGCAACAGATCCATTTTATGTGAGATGCATAGCAGAAGAGACATTGATAAGTCAGATTCAGCCACAAGCTCAAATCATACATAGCATTCAGTATGCCTGAGTCTTAATGAAAACCTAAATGACTTAGGTATTGGTCTTAGAATGAAAGAATAATACATCCTGTCATAAATTTCATGCTCTTTTTACATATTACGTCAATTGTGTAGAGTATTGTAGAGTACGCCAATCCTCTCTAGAATTCTCTATTCACTAAAGATTTCACCAGTCACCAAGCCCTGACTTGGGGTCAAATAAAAAAAAACAGACAGGTCCAGTCCAAGTTAACTAGGTTATTTGGATTCAGGAGACCTCAAAACATGTAGTTCTGTTAAACTCAATTAGAAAATTTTCACAATCACAATACTTCCTATATATTTTATATATAGGTGAGAGAAAGTAAAAAAATATTAGAACTAGGTTTATTAGAACAATGCTTCAGGTATAACAAGAAATGGAATAAAAAATGTAATACAAAAAAATTCTATATTTGTTAAAACCTATCAATAAAAAATTTTCTTAACAAACATACTTATAAAATGTTTTTATATCAGAAAGTATTTCATTAAAATTAATTATTATGTAGAAAAATTAATAACATTTCATATAATCAGTTTGGATAAAAACAATAAATGATTTAAAATGAAACATAAAAAAAATAGATTTTCAACTTTTATGTTTGAGGACTGTAAATCTGTAAGAGATTCCATTCTCATTCTGAACTTCATTTGGAACGCCATCTATACTGTAAAAAACATTAAAATTGTGTTTTCTGATTTCATAATTATAAATAAAATATGTACATAATAAATAATAGTCGAGTTGTTGACCATATGTATATACAATCCAGGAGGGGATGGGGATAGATCAAGAGAGAAAAGAGATATTAATTATAAAACATCTCATTTTTTTATGTAATATTAGCTGAAGTTTTAGTCTTTCATCAGCGCTAATAAAAACAAATTGCCATGATTTTTTTTTTCCTAATAGCATTACAGACCTTAAAGATCTTATTAGATTTCTTTATGTACCCTTTAGTACCCTGTTTCTACTAATTCTATACAATTTAATCATATTTTCCTATGATTTAGTTTATCTACATTTATTTAAAAAAATGATAGATAGTATATCAAAAAAGATATTTATCATTTTATTTTATCTTTAAAAATCAAATCAATAAAATAAAAAAGTAAGATGGTAAACAATTTTGTCTGGACTAAATAATATAATTGAAAGATACTTACAGAGTTTCCTCAAAAAATTCGGGTATCTTCGGAAAGAATGTATCACACTCGAAGGAATGTTGTATCCTTGTAAGGTAGATACTATCACAATATGGAGAATTCATTGCTACCTGTAAAAAGTTAACAGATCAATAGGATATGCAATTAACTGGTATAATATGAAACAACATATATCCTCCGTATCATTAGAATATAAATCCAACATTTTAACCTTATCTAAATCTAATGCTGTTGTACCATAAAGGGGAAATGATTAACAAATAAAATAAAATAACACCACATACTAATAATATATTTGAAGTAACTTTAAATTACCAAAACATAATAAGGAATAAAAAAAGTGTTTTAATAAATAATTTGAAAAGAGAGAATCTATTCTAATTTAGGAAAATTCGTGATCAGGATAAAACAATTGATGTAACTTTTGATGAAATGAAATCAGAGGAAGAAAATTAACAAGAGAGTTACAGACAACACAATAATTTATTAAATTAGATTTCTAGGATTTTCTATAATGATTTTGTTGTATGCCTTAAACCCATGGAAGTTCTAGGCATCAGTACTTTTAAAGAAATCCAATAAATACCCACATTATTGTCTAATTTTGTCCCAGGAAAAAGGAACATATTGATAATTATATGAATTATGATAAAATTAATAGCGGTTTATTGAATGTAGAAATAAAAGTGGATGAAGAATGATCAGAATTATGCAATATAAGAGTGTGTGAAGAGAATATGCCAAAATATTAGAACCTTAATTTTGAATTTAGTTCACCAGGACTCTTAATTAATCAATCTTGATCAACCAATATCTCAAAAAATTTGTATTATATATTCACGATTGCACTTGAATATTCAAGTGTAGTTTGGTATAGTCACTAATTGTTCTTGATAAAATAATAAGCTCTTCCGAATAAAATAATCTATAAATATCTAAATTTTTTATATGAATTTTGTACGGAACTACCACCATTAAATCAAGTAACCTCTAAAGTTCTAAAAATCAACATTTAAATGCTTTGTGACAAAAATTGAAATTTATAAAATTCAAAAGTAATTTACTTCATATAACATTGAACCACCAATTATCCATACATCTTCAATAATATCTGAAAAAGGAGGCTTGCACAAGCTGTCAATTGCTTCATCTAAACTTCTAAAAACAGGTATATCTTTATAGCCGGAATCCCTAAAACTTCACAAGTTTAAAAAAGAGAACATAAAATCCAAAAGTAAATAATCTTTATCCAAGAGTGAATTTACTTCATAGTTTTTGATATTATCACATTCTGCCTATTTGATAAGGGCTTGAATTTTGGAGGAATTGATTCCCATGTTTTTCTTCCCATAATAACTGCATTTTTCTTCTCCGGATCTTTAGTAATGGTTGTCATGTCAGTAAAATATTGGATTTCTCTCCTAGAATAAAAAATTAATGACAATTTTAAGTAAATTTAAAATTGACTTCATCCACCTTATTAATGGATTAAAAATGTATTTACTTTAAACGCCATGGTAAACCACCTTTATAACCAATTCCCATATTTTCAGATACTGCAGCAATTAATTTAAATTTCACAATCTTCTTAGGCTTAGACATGTTTAAACAAAGTTTAGAGATAATGGAATGAACCATAAAATTCAACAGCCAAATTGGTTATGGCGCCAAATATTTGATCTTTTCCAGATAACTTAGAAAACCAATGTCTACAAAGAGCTAAGAATTTATCTCTTAGCTCCATGCAATGAAAGTTACTGTGAACTCAGCGCTGAGTTCATCGATAGCATTGGAAATCCACCATACAACTGCTAAACATCCTGGCATGGGAGTATGGTATGGGAGGGACAGAGGTAGTGCTTATATGTGCCACTGTAGTATTTATATAGACAGAGGTAGTGTTTATATAGACCACGGTATTATTTATATAGACCACGGTAGTATCTATTTAGGCTTTCTCATAGATCAAACCCTTTCCTGGAATCACCATATCTCTCATATATCCCGCCGTGCAATTTCTACCCTCAAACTATTCCATCACTTCCACCATCTTCTACCCCAAAATACCCGTAGACTCCTAGTTTCCTCTCTCATCTTTCCCCACTTTGACTACAGCTGTGTGGTGTACGATGGCCTCTCGGTGGAACTCCGTGATAGACTCAAAAGACTTATGAATAGCTTCGTAAGATTTGTAATTGGGACCCCGAGACGCTCCCGTGTCTCCCACCACTACACTGAGTTAGGGTGGCTCTTCCCCTCCTTAAGAAGACAATATTTCCTAGGCACTTTCCTTTATCAAATAATTACCGATCATCGTCCTTGTTATGCCTACAACCTTCTCCAATTTAAGTCCTCAATCCATTCCCTCACTACAAGATCCCGACCCTCTGACCTATACATCCCTTCTCATAGATCTGCCTCATTCCAAAATTCCTTTATAGCCCGCTCTGTCAACTCTTGGCTATAGCTTAAAGTTGACAGAGCCTCCCGATCAAAATTCGGCATGCCCCTTCCCTGTACACATTCAAAAACCTCCTATTCCAATTCCTGTTCCAAAAACAGTCAGATACCAGGTAACTATTAATATTATATATGTATTGTGTAGCAATCATATAATCATAACATTTGGTAAGAGATAGTACATGCATTTCCTACTATCGACGTAGAAATTTCAATACATACATTTTTTTTTATTCAATTATAATTAATTGTTTATATATATATATATATATATATATATATATATATATATATATATATATATATTCAAGTAAAGTTTTTTTTTTTTTTTTTTTTTTTTTTTTTTATTATTATAAAATGAACTCATTGTATCTCTTTTTCGTTCTTCATTTTTCAAAGTGTATGTTTATGTTGTTCAACCCTTAAATATAATTTTGTTCATAGTTCAAGTGATTCGTTCATAGTTTTAATTGTTTTGTTCATAATTTTAAATGCTCTGTACATAGTTTCATCTGTATTGTATATAGCTTGTGCACCTAAGGTTTTCTTTACTTTTTATTTTATTTTATCAATTTTATTTATTATTTCAACGTTCAGGCGAGTAATATTCTATTATTTTGTACATTATTGTTATTCTGAAGGGACTTAGTCCCAGAATAAAGTTTTTTTTTCTATCTATCTATCTATATAGACCACGGTATAGACGGAGGATATGTGACCCGAAGAGAAGACTGGAGCTTCTTCCGGTCAGGCTGGAGGGAAAGCTAGTGGATGAAGAATGGGACCCCGCGGCTGTTAACACTACGGATGACCTTGATTACAAGGTATCCAGGATTACCGAAGTCATTAGGGATGGCGAGCAAGAATCCCTCCAGCACCGCAAAGAGAGGGAACGACCTGTCCCATGGTGGTCGCCGCCCTTCACCCTGAAGAGAGAGCTCTACAAGACCCGGCGGTCATATCAAAGGTGTAGTAACGAAGAGATGCGTGCTACACTTCGTGAGGAGTACAGATGTAAGACTAGGGTATACCGGAATGAGGTGCTAGGGTGGGTACCGAAATATGAGTGGATTTTGATACATAATATTGATTCTTGGCGCTTCGCTTGGGGAGTTCCGAAGAGGGTTGCGTAGTGATGACTTGCACAGATAAATGGAACAGAGATATGAAATATTTATGTTGTTTATTAGTCAAGTTTTATATATTTTAGTGAAGTATTAACATTAAAGATTTTATTTGTATTATAAATCGGGAAAACTATATATCTGGGTAGAAGAAAGACCATTATTGCAAAACGAGAATCACTTTTTTGTTTCCAACTCTCTGTTTCAGAGAAAATTAACTTTCAGTCATATAGGAAGCCATTTAAGGTCTATTGACTGTACAAATTAGATAAATAACCCAACAATCCATAGATAAAACCAACAATTCATCCTACAGCTTTATATATTTATGATAAGATTACAAAAAAAGTTTTTGTTTAAATTTAATTTATATTTTAAATTAAAAATTGAGAAAAATCAATAATATATATGTATAACACAAATCTTGTAATTTCAGTTTTCTTCAGGCTTCTTTTTTAGAATGCTTGCTTTTCTGGTCTCATATTTCGTTCTTTGTTTTGGGGCACTTGTTAAGATGCTGTTCCAGTCTTTGAAGAGTTCTGCTGAAATGGAGGAAGAAATATTAGAAAAGAAAATTTACTCTTCTGAAGAAAGTAACTAATGAAACACATAATTCCATTTTTTTTTTTCATCGAATTGAGCAGTGGTCAAACCCACTATTAGTTTTCCTCTTTCAGTTGAGACTTCAGAAATCCTATAAAATAAGACAATTGTTATCCTATAAAATAACAGAAATTAGGAGTAAGTAAGCTCAACTCATTTGCTACAATGAAGAGCTAGGTCTTCATGCTAGTCTCGTCTAGTCTAGCGATGTTGTTTTTCCCAAGGAGTAAGCCTTTTTTTCATAATCTACTGATAATATAAATATGGATCCTCGTCATCACTACCCGATAAAGAATTGGATATTTTAAAAGCAATGTACTCTATTTTAAGGAAAATGAAGAAATATATATATAAATGAGGATATCTTGAAGAATCTTGTGCAGACGCTAAACGATTTTTTTTTTCTTTTATGGACAACGACCCTTTGTGGCATGACTAAGGGAAGCACTGAAAACTCTTATTAAGAAAAAAGAAAAGGCTGTGGCATAGGAAACATATCATCGCGATTAAGTAGAAGGGAACTGTTCTTTCAAACAAGTACTTCCATAGACAAGAATGGCCATATAATATCAGACATTCTCGGAATTCTGATTAAGTAAAAGGACTTTTTTTGGTAGATCAGAATAAAAGAGGCCTTATCGAACCTCTAGACGAGGATTAAGCCTCAAATAACATTCAAAAGCTTAAGAACAATAAAGAATCTGCAAGACGTCTTGCTTTAATGGTTATTCAAATATGGTGGTGAGGAAGTTATAAAATATAGGAATAACCAAATACTTATGAATGTCACGCCAATAGAGGCCCAATGAACAGAGTTAGATAATAATATGATGATGAGCAATTACCATGGCATTTCATGAATCTCTAGATGCAACATGATCTTCCTCTTCATTGTTTTAGGAGAGCTCTGTAGTAGTGACTCTATCCAGTCTTCTGAAGGCAATAATTCCGGTGCATTCCTTTTTCGAAACTTTTCAACCAAAAACTCTCTTACTTTCTCGATTTGTTTACACCTTGTTCCTCTGTACATTCCTTCAGCAGATCCCAGCCCTCAAACCTGTTTATTCCTTCTCATATAACTGTTTCCTTTAAAAATCCTATGTCATACATGGAAACTTGTTTTGGAATTCTCTACCAACCTCCATACACAAATCCTCATTCTTGACCTCATTTAAATATAATTTATCTATCCATCTCCTCAGCAATCAATCTTCCAAATATGAGTAAAATGATGTTCATGTTTTTCAGACCTGTCAGTCACATTTAATGTTATCCTATACCCAGATAATTATATATCATCCACATTATTTATGTTTACAAATTTGTGAACTCTCACATCAGAATTTATCTATAATTTCATGTCGACCGGCCTAGTAATTTAATTTATTCCTAATTATTTCTAATGCCAGACAATTGTCATTAAATTGTAGATTGTAGTTATTCTAAGGGGATTTAGTCCCAGAGTAAAATTTATTTTTATTTTTCTTCTCTGCTGTTTGTTAAGAAGATAAGAGATACCAGGCAAGCTTTACAGAAGGAACATCTACCCTAACTTCTCTTTATGGGAAGAAAGTTTATTATATACTAGCAATATGTATGATATGGATAGCATAAATACCAGAGCATACATGTCATTGTATACACTGTTTTGTAGGTATATTCTCTAAATGTACAAAAGGGGAAAAATATTTTTAAACCATAGCACATATGGTTTTACACTATAGCACATAAGTGCTGATACTAATATTGTGAAGCTTACAGGGCACAATTAAAGCATGTGTTATTAATTGTTTGGCAACCCTTTTTATCATGTGATATGGATATCCAATAAAGAAATATAAACTGAAGAACCTTTGAGGCTAAATAGAAGTATACGAGGACAAGATGGAGTAGAACAAATGTACATATCAAGCCATATTCCTTTGAGAGTATTTATATATTAGGGATCTTAAGTCAATTTCCAATAGATGATGCACTTACATTTTAAGAGAATGTTTCCAAAGATCCACACATATATACAGCTGAGTGTTGCACAATAAACAGGAACCAGCAACTAACTTCCATGAAATTTGAGAGATATATCCTGAGGAGAATGTTGGTGGTAATATGTTCAACTAAATTCTGGCAACAATAGACTATACTCAATCAAGAGCTAGTGGTGATATTGATGTAACATTTATTAAAGCAAGCAACTTCAGAGGAACTTGATATTTAAGAATATATAAAGATCACATCTCAAGTAAATGCTGGATACGAAGATCCATAGTCAACGAAAAAGAGGCAGACTAAGGTTGTGGTTGGTGTATAGTGTCCTGAGAGCTTTCTGATGCTTGAGATTAGGTCAGGGAAACTGACAGAAACATGAAGTCATTAAACAAATTCAATTCTTTTTATTATGTATTTTAGTTGTACGAAACAAGGGCTATTCAGTCCATATTGATTTTCATCGTCATCCAATGGCACTACGGTCCT